GTTCGTGCTGTCAGTTTCTTTCCAGATTGTCTGATTGAGCGGTTGGAGGTGTAGGCACCTCAGTATGCTTGACATAGGCCAGCACTGGGTCCCCTCCCTCACCCACTCTTTTTATCTTCTCTTCTCTTCACTGTAGGGCTTTTAATACTATTATATATATATATATACATACACATATACATATTATACAATACATAGATAACTAGACAAACCTCATGGTTGTACGGCAGTGAAGCATCAGTGGCAACACTAATGTTGCTGTCCTTGATGGATGATGGTGATATATATATATATACATACACATATACATATACGTATATACATAGATAACTAGACAAACCTCATGGTTGTACGGCAGTGAAGCATCAGTGGCAACACTAATGTTGCTGTCCTTGATGATGATGATGATGGTGATGATGATGAACTGGGTTTATGATTCAGTGTAGTGGAACTCACCCATCTGGACTAAAGCACTGTTCCAGTGGACAATTTGGAAGCAGTTACTTTTGTGAACAGACGGGCCTGAGGACTAATTTTTTACTTTCATTTGCAAGCCGCTGTATGCTTGAATGGCCCGTCAACCCTAAACTCACCTGTTGGCTCCAATGGGCTTCCCTGCACTGTGTTTAGAAGTCGGCGTTGATAAGTTGCATCTCCTCACAATTTGTTTTGGAGTACATGTACAAAGTGCCAGTTGATGCAAAGTTACGGTAAATCTGGCATTCTTCCCAAGGCAACTTCCACGGTTCTCAATCGAAAATGACGCCATATTTGGATTCAAGAGATTCTAGCCTGAGATTTTTTGATTGGGAGGGGCTAAATTTTAATTTACATTCTTTTAAGGAGATAATCCATACTAGCTGTGATCTCTGACACCGATCGTGGTTTCTTGAAGCATTCTTATGCTGCCAGTCCGGTTTCCCGATGGCTTCGCAACTACTTGTCACTTGCTTTTTTCGCACAGACTCGACATTCCCGAATCTTATTTCTATGATGATGGAGTATTCTGTTCAGAGGAGGATATGAACACTCGGGTAAAATTTGGTCTGACGGTTGCCTCAGTTCATGAAACCAACACTCTGTGCAAAGTGTGCACAGATATCGTGTGTGTGCTCCTCAATCAGCCTTTCATTTTGGACATCGACCTAGACGTCTTCTCTACTCAGAATCCGTTTGTCAACAAATTTACTAAAGATCAGGCAAGTTTTTTTTTCAATTTTTCCTCTTTTTTCGGTTGAAACTTCTCAAGGATCACTTCATGTCATTCCAACTTATTCACTTCCGCCAAATTGAGTTTGGTACTTTTCTGTTTCATGATTATCTTACCGAAGTGACCCAGCCTGGTTAGTCATTGTAGGTGGCCCTCAGATTGAGGGTTTCGCGCAATCTTAACGTCGTTCAAAACATTGGTGAATTCAATTCCGCTTTGACAGCGTTCATCTTGGTTTTCACCTGCCGCCATTACGATAGCACTCACGGAGGTACAGAGATAGAGATGGACTCGCGAAGTCGAACGTTTAGTCGCTATATCCATCGTCATTAACAGCATCTTCGTCTGTAAAAATCCGCGTACTTGTACAATGGTTACACCTAACACAGTTTCGTTTGCCGTTGCTCTAGTGGTAGCGCTAGATAGCTTCGCGTTTGAGACGGCAGCCCATTATTAGGCGTCCATATATGGGTGTCAGTGGGCTTTTCACTGAGAAGGTTGAGTGGAGAAGCAATTACAATGAGAGCGACCGCTTGGGAGCATGCGAACAACTGGCTCATGTCTGACGATGTGCCCGATGTGTCCCATATCGGGGTCTGTATCCGACGAAACGACAATGCCCAGTGCAGCTTGGTTTTCTTGTAATAGTTTCATATTTCGCTGCACCATTTTTCCTTTGCACTCTCCTGGCTGTGCGAAAACTGCCCTCTGAGGACGTCGGTCGATTGCACAAGGAACACATGACCGAACCAGCGCAACGAACATAGTATCGTCAGTCCATTTATCGTTGTCGTGTTATTTCTTCCGAAAATCATTCGACGTAGTTCAGCATTAGTGGTCTGGTGGTCCCATCAAACTCGGGCAATGCCCCGAAGTTGTCGATGGATAGAGGTTTTGACGTCCTCAGTGCGTAGCGGCCGAATTTCCGACCCGCATAATAACACAGAGCGCACCGCAGGACTGCGAACCCGACCGTTGACAGATAAGATGTCACACCAGAGCCACAAGTGATGCATGTTGACACGAGCTCCTCTTACCCTCAATTCGAAGAGAAAGATCATCTTTGGTAGACCACAGGAACTGATACATTAGCCCACGACATCATAATCAATATCGATAGCGGGACATCAGTGTTCAACACATGTTTCACTGCCGTGCAACCATGATTTACTGAAAAGGCTCATTGTCAAGAAATGAATAAGCGTAGACGGGTAAGGGAGTTAGTGCTAGCTTACTACAATCATTTCGAGGTGCCTACAACTCCATATCGTCATGCAAGCAATCTGGATAGAAACTGATGACAACACCACCAATGACATCGTTTAGCAGACCTACCTTGCAGCGTCTCCAACTAAGCTCAGTGGGGTCACGCGGTCTCCAGTCTGGAAGACGAATATCACCGACAAAACCCCAAACACTTCGTGATCTCTTTCGTACCCCACTTCCAGGTCAAGGGTTGGTCATCTCTCCGCTTCTCCCACTCTGAACTGGACAAGGAAAACAGCATTCTCTTCGGTAAACGATGGTTCGGCATAAGCAATACAGGACACGTTCTTCCATCGAGGTCTGCGGTGCACAACCGGAAACTCGTTTTCTAATCGCCTTGTTACGTATTCGGTGGCATCAACCCACACGAGCTATGGTTTTGAGACAAGCGTTGTCGATCACCGGAATACATCTCAATTCCTGCCGGTCGAACAGGCCAAGTCTCAACCGTGCAACAAAACAACCCGTACTGTAAACTGATACACACGTCCCTTGAGATTCGGGGATATACCTGTTCGGAGGCCAGCCATCCCTAATAACCGAACATCACATCATTTGGATAGATGTGTCATGTGCAGGACATGGACCAAACGTTCACCGTTCAGGATTCTACGTCAGCTGTGGGCTCCAGATGAGTGGCAGCTGGTGTCCACGATAACTTGCCCGAAGTATTCGGCTCAACAGATGACGCGTTCTTCTTTATTCACTATGGTCACTCCTTCCCGATCCTTGGTTTCAATCACAGATGATTTCCGGGGACTGGTCGCACGGATCAACTGAAATAATCTCTGGGCCTTCCTGGCTTTCTGACCGTCTTCCATTTCTTCAGCTTTGCGTGTCCGCAAAACTTAACGGTTGGCTCGCATCCTCATTGTATCTTGATGTCTGATAATTCGTCAGGTCGTGTTATGTTTCGGACCGAATGGGATTTGAATCTCGGTCTGATATTTAGTGCCCGTGTGAATCTCACCGTGCCACAGGCATCTCACTGTGAGTTACACGCATAAAAATTAACACATACCACATCGGCCGGGTCACACTACTTGCTGCATACAACAGGGTAGGTAAGCGAAAACAGGCTACTGCTAACGCCTTTCGTTATTCTCTTTCATATACTCTTTTCTCCTTCGCCCCACCCCGTTAGTAACTCTCTCCTTGTTTACCCAGGAAGTCGGACTGATGGCTTATTCGGTTTCGCAAGCTGCATCTATGTGTCATCCGGCGCCGAAATACTGGGGCATCCAAAAATCAATTTTCAAGCCTCGATGCCCAGTCTGTCTAACTGTCTTTAACGTCCATACTTTGAAGCAAGTGGGACATAATACTGCTCTTGCTCTCACACTGGACTCGCTTGGCATTTATGTGTGCCATGTACCAGAAGCAAACACTGATTGGGCTAAACGCCTCATTACTCTCCACTCGCTTCCGGCTGCGCACTTCTGGCACTCCAGAGAGTACTGTCACAGGATAAGTAAGGATTGGTATCGTCCTAAGTCACCGGCCGCTTGCTTGACTGGATAGTCGCCTATGTGCGGCTTGTCTGGCAACTTTTCTGAAGTGGTCTCACAAGCGAGAAAGTTATCGGCGTCTTTTTGTCGTGTTTGCTTACGCCTCAACTCACTGTAGCTCTGGCACCATCAAAGACAAGTTTTATGGTGCACTGAATGCCCTTTTTTGGCTAGCTAAAAGCTCTCAGATATTGAGGTTGCCGGAGATCTGGATGCACAGTTGGGCAGGCTTTGTGCATCTGGGACTCGGCTAGGTGATCTACACAGATTGCACTTGGTACCTACGGACATTTGCAAATGATTGCTTCATTCGTTTGCTGACCGCAGTCTGGTTTTATGCAGTACCTGTCATGTAGATAAATTTCTCTGGTATCTGGTATCGGCTGGTCTGGAAGTAGTCCCGTGGTAGCACGCTACACTCTTCAGTAGTGAAGCGCATGCCCGAGCGTATGCTAGAATTGTTTGGGGTTATTCAGTATCGTCTGCATTACTTTGGGGTTAGATCTAAAATGGGCTATTTCGTCTGGGTTCTCGATATATGTGGCTGGCGTCTTTCTTGATCATATCAATGACGAATTTTAAGGGGAAAATTAAAGGGGACAGCCTTGCCTGACAGGCGAGATGTTTTCGTCGACCTTCACATATCCATGAGAGGTGGTGTATAGTGCCTTAAAGAGGGTCAGGAATTTACTCAGGACACCTCTGCTCCGTAGGCTCTGCCACAGTGCATGACGTTTCATAGAGTCAAAGACAGCTTTCAAGTCAAGAGAGATCACTGCTTTTTGGTTGCTGGAAGCAGTGTCGGAGGGTGAAGAAGTGATCGATGCATCCTTTTGGAGGACGGAACTCAGCTTATCTTTCACAGATCTGTCTCTCCCCCTGTTCAGTCGACCGGAGAGCACCTCCGATAACACAGCCACCAGGCTAACGCTATAGTGGTTTTCTCACAATGCTTGCGCACCTTTTTTAAGTCAGGCATGACTGTCGATGACCATTATTCTGCAGGCACTTTCTCTTCACTCCATATCGCACCTATAAGTTTTGTCAAACGGGTAGCTAGGGGTTCCCCGCCTTCTATATATAAGCGATTGCATACAGACCCTCCGTTCCTGGTGCCTTATCGCGTTTCAGTAGGGATATTTATTGCCTTTTTTGATGGGTGATTAGGTCTACTTTCCATCCGCTTGCATGCGGGCGAGATGGCTCAAGTGGTTAGAGCGCGAATTTGGGACATGTGTTACGTATGCCGAACCATCCTTTGCCAAAGAGAGTACTGTTTTCCATGCCCGATTCGGAGTGGCGTAAACAGAGAGGTGGCCAACCCTTGACTTGGCGGAGGAGTATGAAGGAGATCACGAAACGCTTGGGTGCTGTCGGTGCTACTCGCCTTCCAGGATGGGGACCGCGTGATCCTCACTGTGCCTGGTTGGAGACACTACAAGATATGACTGCCAACCGATGTCAGTGGCGGTCTTGTTGTCAGTTTCTGTCCAGATTGCCTGAGTGAATGTCTGGAGGTGTAGGTGCCTCGGAATGATTGGGTTAAGCTGGCACTAAGTCCCTCCCCCATCCACCTTTATTCTTTTCTTTACAATAAGGCTTTCAAATAAGTCCTGGTTGTACGGCAGTGAAGCATCGGTGTTGAACACTGATGTCATGCTGTCGATGATGATGATGATGATGATGATTGCTGACCGGAAGGTCCGTGGTTCGAACCCGACCACTGTCTCTCAACTTCCCCTGTCTAGGCTTGGGCAGTCTGGCGGTATCCTAGCCTTCATGCTCCCTTCAGGTATCATGGCAGATAGGCACCGAAAGGGTGCTACAACTGAATGAGCTGGACGCCCGTATACACTGTCTTCATGGCTGATGTCGCAGGCGGCTGGTGAAAATGTCCTTTGAGGAGTTCGGTCCATCTTTTCTGTTGACTTTCTTGAGGTTGAATTACGAGGCGCCTTTTTCATTGAGCGTTCCTTTATTTTGGACTTGTGGCACAAGGCAGGGCTGTTTCCGGCAGCACAAGCCTTCTCCATCTTCTGTGCCTTCATTGTTATCCAAATCTATCGATCTTTTCCTGGACACTTCGGCACTTTCTGCTTGAAAGATCTGTGTGCATCGTACTCGTTGCCTTGTATGCACCTCCTGGCATCAGTCAGGGTCAGTGATCTTGGCGATAGTCAGTGGCCGTTTTATCGTAATAGAGAAGTCGGACAGACAGCAATGAACGCCGCTAGCTTAGGCCATTCCTCATCCATCTGCCGCTACCAGTACATTGTCGACTTACTTTAGATAGCTAAGATAGCTCTCCGAAGAAGACAGATGGGCATACTTCTTGCTGACTCGCGAGAGGCTGAACGAAAGTGCATTATGAGGCGTGCTCGCACCATGGCTGATATCCACTTGATCCAATTTCGTCCTCGGCTGATCTGCACTTTGTGAAGACCACGATTCGTGGTGATAGCATTTATGTTTGAAATTCATGCTGGAAATCCGTGCACTACCGTTTTACAGGACCCTCTATTTTTCATGTGGAGTATTACGAAAAATGGGATCATTTTCACGATGCAACGAATGGTTCTGGTCATTGTTAACCAGGTTGCATGCCATAATCTTCTTTGGGACAATGTTTTTGCTAACACTTTCCACCGCAAGAAACCAGTGAACGAACGAGATAGTAGCAAGAAATGTCTTGTAAGGAGCGCCTATGCCGCAGCGTGAACCTATTCAGATGGTTATTCAAAGTAATCACCTATAATTACAGCTAAGTTGAAGGTTACTGTGCTCATTGCATCCTCCAGATTACAGGGAACCAACAGGCTGAAGCCGAAGCATGTGTGGAAGGTGGTAAACCTATCCGTGCCTATTCATCCGAAAAACAGGCAAGGTTGCTGCTCTTCTTTCGCTACCAGTAGTAGTGTAAGTCGTTACTTCGTGAGCCGAAAAATCCTGCGCCGTGTGTTGAGTAAAGTCACTCGGCGTGGGTTGTTTGGCTTACCATGTCTCAGTTCAAGTGGTTTAAGTGGTTGGAGCGCAATTTTATCGTCTTGTCCACAATTTGTGCTCACTTGGATAAGCCTCTGGTTTGAGATATCCCCCAACTGGACACGCAGCACAGAGATTGCTTCGGATTTCATTTAGGCTAATTTTCGAGATATCACAGTAGTTTCATACGCGTGTAGAGCAACAAGTGAGTTCGGTGTCAGCTGATTTCGTGACAGTTGTACAGAACCCGATTCCCTGGAACAGTCATCATCATCGTCAACAACATCAGTGCTGACACTGATGCTTCACTACTGTACAACCACATAGTTTATCTAATTATATTTACAGTCCGAGTGTGAAAATAAGCGAAGAGAGTGGGTTAGGGAGGGGACATGTGCTGGGCTATCGCATGCTTCCTGAGATGCCTACGTCTAGCGCTCAATCTGACAATCAGCACGAACACCACTGCCATCGATCAGCTGCCATTTCTTACCACGTCTCCAGCAAATCGCAGGAGGGGTCATAAAGACCCCAGCCTGGGAGTCGCACTGCAGCAACACTCAAACTCTTCGTAATCTTCCTCACGCTATTCTCCCAAGTCCTACGTTATCCAGCCCGCGATTTACGCCATTTGAAAGGGGCATGGAATACAGGAGTCGCCTCAGTAGACAGTGTTTCGTCATGTGTAGCATATGACCAAGCCACCGCAGTTGATGATGCTGGTTGTTTTCCACGATTGAAACATCTGCTACACAACCAAATACCCGTTTCCTAATTACCTCGTCACCAATACGTTCATGCGATCGTCAACGCATTTGAGGCATCGGTGGTCAAAAAAATACTTGAAGACACCTCACATCATCCGCTGAGGCCATGTTTTGCAACCATACAACACAACCCTTACCGTAGGCTGGTACATGTGACCATTAAGACCCAGTGATATGCCCTTTTTACTCCACATGTGACACAATTTGGCAAACGTGATTCGAGCCTTTGGGATTCGTGCACTGATTTCATCAGCCATGCTTCGGTCAGAGCTAATACAACTACCGAGGTGTTTAAGATTCTCGAGAACCTTCAGTTATTTTTCTTAAATAGTGTACGTTCCAAAGCATGGATTTACACCTTGAAATTGTTGAGCACATGCCGAAAGTATGACAAGACTTCTTTCCCTTGGTCTTCAAAGGTGAAGACAATGTCATCTGCTTACTCCAGATCAACAGGGTTCCCAGCAGCAGCGATTCCCACCGAGGTTTCGAAGCCCTTCCAGGATTCGCCTCATTGTTCCATCAATGATGACGTTGAACAAGAACGGAGAGACTGGACATCCCTGTCGGACAACCATTTGGTTGTTGGAAGCTTTTGGTGAGCTCACCATGCACTCTTACGCCCAAAAGTATGTGAATATAGAGATCGGGTAATGTTTAAAAACTTCTGCTGAGCAAGTGTAGTTAACACACTGATCGATCGACGGAATCAAACGCACCCTTGAAGCCAAGGAATACCAGGATTTTCAGAAGCTTTTGTGGTGTACCCGGTTGTGCAAGTGTGGTTAAGAGCAGAGTCGAACACGCCCTTGAACTGAAGGAACACCATAATTGTGCGTCATCTGTACGTATGGCGTTGGTTTAACACCTGACGGATTGTGGAGATGTAGTCAACGAAGCTTCTAACCGCTAGAAACCCCGCTTGGTGCCCACGGGTCAACGATTAGTGTACCGCAATGAGACGATGAACAATCACTGACACTAGAAGCTTTGCCACATTTGGAGTCAAACTAACACATGTGTCGTTACCACATTTACTGTGGGTACCCGTTTCGAATATGAACACTATTATTGCCCGATATGGTTGCCTGGAGTGGTTTGTTTCTCCCAGATTGATAGCAGGTAAGGCGATCCGGCTGGTGACAGCAGGCTGGCGACGGCCGATGTGGCATGAGAATATTGTTAGTTGTAAGGGCCACGGTTGTATATGGGCTGGGATAGTGCCAGGACTTCCGGGCCCAGACAGGAGGACGATTATGGTCCTCGACCAAAGTCTTTGACTCAAAATTCAGACCACATGGCAGCGGTGTATGGCGGGAAATGCAGGTGCATTGCCTTTTCATAGGACAAGTCGCCACACGTGTTCTAACACCTACCCTGGAGGACCAGGAGACTGTGTTGATCAGCCTCTAATCATGGGCTGGGATAGTGCCAGGACTTCCGGGCCCAGACAGGAGGACGATTATGGTCCTCGACCAAAGTCTTTGACTCAAAATTCAGACCACATGGCAGCGGTGTATGGCGGGAAATGCAGGTGCATTGCCTTTTCATAGGACAAGTCGCCACACGTGTTCTAACACCTACCCTGGAGGACCAGGAGACTGTGTTGATCAGACCTCTAATCACCTCCCAACTTGATATGAGATACTGTGAGTGTCTCATGGACACTAGCCAGTATGGTTTAATGGGTTGCCGAAGTACACAAACAGTCACCCATTGTAGGGCTGAGCCTCTTTGTGAAGGAAGGTTATCACGTACTTTCAGAGCCAGTGTTCAGTTGTTTCCTTGATGACAAGTCACTCAGGAAAGACTGACTGAGTGGGAGTTCTTGAATTCCTTCCCTGGGGGCGAACCATGGAACGGGTGATCCCGATGGACATTACTCTTCGGCTGGTGTAGCATTATAGCATTGTAGCACTATATAACATCTGTTCGACCTTGCAAGTGAATAATCTGATGACGTGCTTCTCAGATAATATCAGGTTCCTTGCATGTTCCCCAACATCGGACACCAAACAAACGGGAGATATTTTGAGGTTGTTCAGATTAGTTGAGCCAGGTTGTCCTATTTTTATCACCAAAGGATATCAATCGTCGTGACTCGTCGAAGCTAATAACGTCGCCTAATTTTTGTGCATTGGGGGCCCATGCTGTGATAATTACTCTAATTTGGAAGCATTCACTACGGCAACCGGGAGAGGAACGGATTTTGTTAAGGTCATACAGGAAGTCCAACTAGTGTTCGGACAGCGGAATATCCCCAAATACACGCACCACAAGAGCTAACTGGTCATTTACCTTCCTACTTACTCAAGCGAATGATTCGTGTCTCACTCAAGTCGCCCAAGCAGCCATACCGAAAGGCAAACAACATCCCAAACTCCTTACATTTCACACTTAGTAGGCCTTAGTCGTCCATGCAATACGGACTGAATCCTTAGCCACTGGCGAAATAGACGTGATGTGTCCTCAATGTCTGCCGCGTTTACGTGGTCGATTGAACGGATTAGATCAGTATTCTCCCACATTTCTTCACTTGTTCCCTTTAGTTTTGCCTCTTTGTGATACGACCCTTTGAAGAATATCCCAAGCGATGGATTTCGCTACAATTATTTGAGCTTCCCGTTTACACCGTCTTAGTTTGCAAATGAGTGTGTTTCGCCACTTGATAATGCAAGCGTATGAGCGAAAAGTACCCGTAGTCGTTCGGTGCCTAGTTGTCATTCCACCTGGAGAGATTACGAAGGCTGGGATTCTGTAAGTTTGCCAAATCTTGACAGAAAGCAGTCGAGATACCTGGTGTGGGCTCGAACCGCACAATCCTAACCTTTATGCTGTCTCGAGTTCATGCCCATGCCTGATTCACTGTGAAGTTCTCAATATGTCTACTATGTTGAGTGGTGTACATGAAATTTCTCAATGATAAAGCACTTTCGATTAACGTTCTTTCGTTATTTGACCAAGGCACACATCTTTGCTGTCCTTCCACTTTAAGATGGAGCTGATTGACCATTTGTACGCGTCCCCTCCGAGTTTGAGTATTCCACTGTCTCCGAGGGAAATAAACAATCCAGCAGTTGTTCTGGCCCATTCAGTTGCTTGTGCTCGAGTGCTCAATGGCGCTCGGCGACGTCAGCTAACTCGTCTCCGCCAGTGGTTACAATGTTGGGAGTCGGAGACGCTTCCGCCAAGTTCGGCAATCGTGTTATGGCCACGTGAACTTGCTGATCTTAGTAAGCTCGTACTTTCACTGGAAGATATAGAAATGTCGAACACTGTTCGTCAGGCTGTGATGGAAACGCTACGACTTGCATCCAACCGTCTGTCTATTGTTGCTGAGCCACCTTTGTTGGCTTTGGGATCAGAAGAAAAATATGTAGAGGAAGCTCTCTGTAAGTGCTTTACAGTTGGTGTTTTGACATTGATCTGAAGCGTCAATTTCAGAGTCGAATGGGCGAATGTTTTCCTAGCTACGTTGCAGCATCTCTCAATTGCGGCAAACGCACACCATGCTTTCCACATTTTATGCTTTGTTGAGTGGGTCAAGCTTCGATACCTGATTACGATCGTAACAATTTCTGTAATTCACTTGGTAATTACAGTGTTCCAGGGTGCCAACATACTGTCTGCGCATCACGGTTTCTACGCTCAACTCAATGCAAAACCATGCCTACTGAATGTACCTCGCAGAACAACTGTTGCTTGAAATTCTCCCTAAGTTCGTAAGGTTTCTGATGGATAAGTTTTCACTTCATGGTGAAATGGTTAATGAGTGACCAATGAACAACTTCAGCCTCACATGGAGGAAAACCAGAGAGCTATTTTTCTGGACTACCCAGTTTTCAGCGAGGAACACGTGTAAGGATGCTCTTCATAGAGAGCCAGCTGATCTTGGAAAATAGCTGCGCGAAGTACATGTCAGGCAATACGTTTCTGTAGTTATTAAGATAATCATGTGAACAGTTTTATATTTCCTGCTAACTTACACCCTTACATGAACGATTGGCCTTTGGTTCCAAAGATCTCGCAGGTACATATTCATTAATGGTTGATTTAATCGTATCGGCGGAAGCTGAATTGATGAGTCAACTCTGCGGTCGCGTTACTGCCAAGAGACAGAAAATATTTCTGTACATCTCAACCTTTTTCAGTAAGAGTCCACTTTTCCCCGAAAGGGGAATAATTCATACATAACGGTCTTTTGATACCGAAAAACAACACAGGAATCTGAATGGGAGGGGTAATTATTTCTAGAAATACGTATTCGCTGAGTCTTCTGGCTGGGTCAGCAGGTTTCATGTTTGATGTGAGGATTATTTACGTCGCGTTCTCACAACAAGTTCCTTGGACGTGGCAATTACCAGGCCAATGTTCCTCTGGTTTATCTGTGGGGAGTGAGATGGGTTAGGTGGTTAGAGCGCGAATCTCCTGACCAGAGGGTCCGTGATTGAAACCCGATCTTTGCCTCCCGACTTCCCCTGTCTAGGCTTGGGCAACCTGGCAGTAACCCTGCCCTCGTGCCTCCTTCGGGTGGCATGGCAGCTAGGCACCGGAAAGGTTTTACACCTGAACGGGTGGTTTATGTGTTCCCTGTTCTCTTTTTGCGGTTGATCTGTTAATTATTCATTCTTTTGTTCGTTATGACATGTCAGAACATCCGGCGTGTCTATTTGGGCTATTTTTCATGAGACAGCTCGGTACCATGTGACGTTGATCTAAAACTTCAATAACAGATCATTTTCCCCCTTGCTGTGATTCTTTCTAAGTGCATACATATATATTGCTCCGCTTGTGTATACCGGACGCTGCCTGTCAGACTCTGGTGCATCCTCTGTCGCACACATACACTGTACATGTTTTTTCACTGTTTACTCGTGTCTGTATTCGTATGCCATCATTTCAGCCAAACTCAATGCTACCTGCGCCGGTGACGCACTGCAGTCATCTAAGGCTATTGGACTACGTCGAGTGTATAGCCAGATTGAAGAGAGCCGATCCACACTGTTGTCACACCGGTGCTACCCGGGAGTTCCAGTGAAGCGTCGTATGAGTAGCCCCAATTGCGTGTGTTTGGACATACAAGCGAAGCTTAAATTGCGCCCTTTTGACTCAGCCACGGTGGCCCCGTCAACCGGAAATCTATCGGAGGTTGTTGACGTCGAACGCCCTATGGATGTTGATGCTGATGGTTCCTCGTCATGCACTGTACCTGAGCCTAACGTCAATCGGGACCTAAAAGTCATCCTCACTAAATTGGATGACAGTTTGCTCTCGGAATTGACCCCTTCAGAACCTGGTCCGGAATCTGAAGCATCTGTTGGGAAAAATAAACCGGTGGCAGAAGGAGAAGTGACCCCGCTTTGTTTTATGCACTACCTATGGTCTGGTGTGGCGAACCATGATCAAGACCCTCTGCCACATTATGTAAGACGTTTTTGGTCTGCATGTCAGCTACGCACTTTGGCTATCTGTTGGTTTTTAATAAGATACTTCAGTGGTTATTTAACATGTATAAACCGGAAAATGTGATAAGTACTGTCGCAGTACAGTGTACCTATAACGCGCTCCATCATGCATCTTCAGAGCTCTAGTTAACAACGGTGTTTGGGATATCGGCATTCCGCATCTCGGCTTAGTATTCTCTTCCCGACCTGTGGTATGCACCAAAAATCCTTGTACCATTGCGGACTCTCATCGACCTTTATCTGACCTTTCTATGATCAATGTTTTGGTCCTGTATGGATGGAATTTTCTATGATTTGTTTTGTATATAGTGCACTGTGGTTGTAGATTCTGACGACTCTCCGGAGTACATGAGCTTTGGAATATCAACAGGAGTTAGTGGGCAATCCGTCTGGTTACAACAGTATTTAGGTGTCATTTATCCACCCGCACAATAGCGTGCCTTTGTTGTCAACATGAGCTTGTTACTCACTGATTGACTTTACATTCTATTGGCCCTTGCCTGAGGATAAGTTGGTTGATGTTTCAAAAGGCAGCTATCCAGGGTGGATAGCGGTGCCAAAACTCTTCCAGATCTAGTGGGGGAGATCACAGAGAGCTACCAGAGCCAACTATTCAACATGGGCCTTCGCAGCGCTTGCCCAAGGGCTTGGCCAGTGTACTGGGTGCTCAAAGCTTGCCCAAGGGCTTGGCCAGTGTACTGGGTGCTCAAAACTGGGTTTCCGTGTAGCGTAGTTTTTTTTATTGTTTATTCAGTGTGCATATAGTGGATGCATCTGTGGGCTGCGGTTCTCCCGATAACTTTAGAGAATGGTAGGCGAGAAAAGATGTCGATCGGAAACCCAGTAAACTGTACGGCAACTAACCAATGCCAAACCTGTAGATGCATTCCTAATCAAAACTTACGCTTTTCACTGTCGCGTGATTGCAATTAGCTAAATAGGCCTTTACAGTTGATACAACTGTCGTGTGTCACGCGAGCAGAAACTGACATCTTGGACATTTCACCAATCAGCTGGGGTGATCTTGAATTCTGCTGCTCCAGTCAGGAGGGCTAGGCTTCCATCCTTACCCTGCTTTTTGTCTGTATTCACCGGTCATCTTCGTGTAGCGAAATGTGGTGTGTTGGGCAGAACAGGTGCTTTCGGGTTATACTTTCAAGGTTCATTCGACTCTTACAGTTATCCAAAGCTGCTATCCGGATCGCTGTATCTTGAACCAACTGAAACGCTTAATTCGTTGCGTTCACGACACGAAGGCTCTCAGTTATCCGAATTCTTCCAATTCTTGTGGTGATTCACTGACGTGGTTTTTGGAATATTGGTTCACCAGCTCTGAAATCATAACTCACTCAGTTTCCAATCCCAGCTGAATTAGGCGCCACCGGTGGTGACTTGAAACGGAAAATTAACCTGAATACGAACTATCACTCATGCTGGAGAGGGAGGCGTGGGATAGAAAAACTCCCTCATTAGACCCTCAACCATAGATAATGGGACAAGGCGCGGCACAAGTTGGTTTGACTCAGTTGTGCAGTTCGAAATTTTAAAGTTGTACGGTTACATAAAACTTGAGCCACGTTTCCTGCGTGTTCAATTTTTTTCTATCTTCGAACAGTCCTAACAGGCCCATCAAACATGGTATCCAACATCTGCGATTCGATTCTTACAGAAGTTGGCTGTGCGGGGTTTGGTGATCGCAGCTCACCGGACACAAAGGGGTGTCCATCAGGGGTGCCTAGCCTCTCCATTCCTTTTTGATTCGGGAATGCCCCGGAAGTCTGTGAACATAAAAAGTTCTTTGTATTTACAGACTTCTGGATGTGTGAGATTATTCGGAGAGCTCTCCAAAAGCTCCCATAAACAAGACTACATCTCTCACAGGTGTCTACTCTCCCGATTCCTATTCACTTCCATGATCGATGAGATAATAAGACAAACGCTGGAAGTTCTTCAAAACACCGGTGTTCCAATAGCCTCTGCAAAAAACCTTGTCGAACTGGAATACGTAGATGACACCGTTCTCGTCGTCGGAAAGGAGAAGGCGCAGGTGTTTTTAGATGAATTGGCTAAAGTCATGGCGTCCTTTGGTATGCACTTTGCATCCACAATGTATAAGTTCATGTTCATGGGAATACAGTCACTGAACCCACCACGTACAATCCGGGGAGAGGCGGTCGAAGTTGTAGAGCGTTCTACGTATTTTGGAGGTTGTATTATTTCTGAATGTAGTGTGACAGATGAGGTAAATGCACGAATCTCCAAGGCTGGGATCGCTTTTGCTAATTTGAGACACCTTATGACATTAGAGCGGTATATCCCTGAATCTCAAGGGACGTGTGTATCAGTCTACAGTATGGACTGTTTTGTTTTATGACTGTGAAACTTGGCCTGTTTGAGCAGCGAAACTGAGAATTCTTCCAATGTTTGACAACGCTTGTCTCGGAACCATAGCTCATGTGGGTTGATGCCGCCGAATCCGTAACGAGGCAATTAGAAAGCGAGTTTCCGGTTGTGCACCGGGGACCTCGATAAAAGAACGTGTCCAGCACCAGAAGCTGTGTTGGTTAGGCCATGTATTTCTTATGCCGAACCATCGTTTGCCGAAAAGAGTGATGTTTTCCTTGTCTAGTTGAGAGTGGCGGAACCGGATTGATGACCAACCTTTGACCTAGAAGTGGGATACGAAAGAGATTACGAAGCGTTCGGGTGCCGTCTGTGCTACTCGCCTTCTAGATTGGGGAGCACCTGACCCCCAGTGCACTTGGTTAGAGATGCTGCAAGATCGGTCTGCTAAACGATGTCATTGGTGGTCTTGTCATCGGTTTCTATCCAGATTACTGGAATGATTATCTGGAGTTGTAGGCACCTCGAAATGATTGTTGTGGGCTGGCACTAAATCACTTTCGCGTCCACTTTCATTCTTTTTTTTGAAAATGAGGCTTTTCAGTAAATCATGGTTCCACTGGAGTGAAGCATCAGGGTTAAACACTGATGTCTTGGTGTCGATCGTGATGGTTATGTTTAAATTTTAGGCGTTCCAAAGCAGGATTCAGCTATAGGTAGCGGTTTTTCGTATATGTAAAATGTTCCCTCTGGTTTGGATGGTTTCTATGGTATACCCGTTTTTTCCGTATTCTAGGAAAACAAGAAATATTTCGGTCAGAATGATCTGGTTTGAGGACCTCCAGGCTATCTTATCCTGTTATTTAGCCATACATCGGGTGGTACTCATTGCAAACGCTTGTGAGGTAGATGGTTTCACGTCACTCCTTGGCTTTGCCGTCTGCATAATCTCACATTTGTTGAAAAATAGTGTTTATCTTTGCTTGCTTTATAAAATCATTTTTGCGTTGCTCTTCAATATATCTCCCCTCGAATTAAGATAACTAACCCGAATAATGCACGGCGATGTCCGTTATGAACCAATTTTCCAAAAAGGTACGTTTTTCTGGAGGGAGGATTTTCTTCCTCCTGATAATCGCTCTTGAGTTGACTATTTTAGTCGTACTTGGTTAGCTACCAACTTGTTTTCCAGCCACTTTTCACAACCCGAATATAATCTCACTTTGCGGTCTTGGTATGCTGTTTGCTCTGCAGGTGTCAACCGTCCAAGAACAACAAGAGATGCGTGAGGTGATCGAAGGTTTCCTCAATCGTTTGCACAATCCCTGTGTCATAACGATCGCACGCTCTGTGAACGACAACTATACTCCAACTAATCAAGTGCAAAGTCTTCAACTGAGCTTACTTCAAGCGCTGGAGCGCGTCTACGGTCAGGACCTACTTTCTGTCACGCTAGACTATGAAAAGTAAGTCGAACTGGCGCATTAACCTACACCATTCTGAAGGGTGACTTGTTGGTTAATTTTCCTTAAGGATGTGCTGCTGACCGCTGCTGCTGCCACCGCAGGCATTCGGATTTTTCTCAAAGACTGCGGTACTCTGGAATGAAGCGGATCAATTCACACACCCTGGATTGTTATTGTTCCTCCATACTTCGTCAAAGAAACTACATCATAACGTTTCTGGATACAGTCCGTCTTTAGGAGTGTTGGTTTGTCTGCAAGCGGGTTTTTTCAGGACAAAGCTGTTTACACCGATATTTCGGACCTCGGGAATCTTGTCAGCTGTACTTCTAAATTCCTTTTTATTCGACTGGGAGACATTACCTTCTAGGTTATCCCGTTCGCTCGTATACTCGAGAGTGACTCTTGTAAAATAGTTCGTCTTTTTCCGGGTCAGTTGCTGCATGCGCAGTTTATCCTCATGCTAAATATTTGTTCGTACTGAGTTCAGTTTGCAAAACTTGCACAGCTCTCTGCACCACGTTCTATCCACACCAGTCGGAGGCCATGTGGTAATCATGTCCGTTTATTCTGAAATCTTACCTGTTTGATCTATCCTGTATATCGTTCGCCGTTTCGTACCAACCATTGAGATAGATTATCTGACGGCGACGTGACCACATCCGTTTCTTTTGGATCGCAACTTATAGTTAGTCAACACACCCATCAGGTGGGCCTGGATTACATTCATCATTTCACACTGCACTAATCACAACATAGCTTTATCTGAACGGTCGCTTGTACTACGTTGCAATATGGACCACTTTCCTCTGTGGGTGCTAAATGTGAAGCAAGGACGGGTTGGAAAAGTTGGCCCTAAAAACCGCAAACTCCGATCACCCAACGGTTGACCGTGAACTCTGATGCATTATTCAACACGGTCGAAATACCTCTAAAACGAAAGAGTTCACTGTGCGCAGTTGCAGTAGGAGTGAGACAGTAATGCCTTACTCCTTGCGCTTTCGGGTTAGGCCCGCAGCCGGACAGTTCAAACTATTGAGTTATCGGCTCCAGGAAGGGTCCCCAAAAAAGACCTTACTACTCGCTGCCTCGCGGGTCAGACTTTTCAGTCAGAGGTTAGCGGCAGAGTCCCCGAGCAAAGCCTTACCTCCTCCGAGTCCCTTGTGAGTAAGACTTTGTGTGAAGCACTCAAGGTGGGGTACTTCAGTCAAGCTCTCTGCAGCCCGGACAACCGGCGAGTATCATTTGCCTGCACATTGTCCACTGATGTCCCTCAACCGCTTCCGAACACACAAACAGACGTTGCTGGGTGATTTACTGTCAACTATCTGACCGACATGTCTCATGACCCGGACTGCCTGTTAGCATTAAACAAAATAATACATTGCTAAATTCACGAGATCCTTTCTAGATAGGACCTTTCGATATCCGTACTCTATGTCAAACAGGCAATGCCCGCTGAAAATGTATATCCCCTTGAAATTGACGTATGCTGTGTCTTCGAAACACACACACAAAATGGAAGCGTGGTTTTGCATATCAGCACTCCATAGACGAGCTCAGGTATCTCACATCTCTCCGCATGTCCATTGATCCAGAAACGATGACCTGTAGGATATATGACGTGGGAGCTGTACTCAGCCCTAGAGCTGAACGCGCTTCGCTGGATCGGATCCCAGTGAACATTCGTCTTTGCGCCGTCCGGTTATTAAGCTCGATCGAGCTCAACGCCTCAACATAAAAAACGTTACCTGTTCGTAGTGTCAGCTTACAAATCAGCAGACTGAAACTGAGAAGGATAGTATCTATCGAGGACTGTCTGGGCTATCTGCATCTGTTGACCATCAGGCACTATGACAGTATTTGTTGAGCAAAGATGTTCCCCGTAAATTCTTGACTTTTCTTAAGGCGTTGTACGTCAACTCGAGCGGGAGTGTGAATGTCTGCTCGAACAAGTCCTTAGTTGACCACATAAAGCGGTATCAGGAAAACTGTCTCATGTTCTATCGTTCCCCTTCAACTTCATCTCTATCTCTATGGGGTCAAACTTTGTTCGGGGCGTTCACTCACAAACAAAGAGTACACGGACGACATAGCTCTTCTTGAACCCCACATATATATATATATATATATATATCAACTTGTAAATTTCTGGTTGAACTAATTTCTGTCCTGCCTGATAACCCCTCAATTTGGACACCTTTTTCCAATATCATGTTTTCTATATGGTAGTGCCTTTTGCCGGTAGATTGCCTGTATGGCTCCCCATAAGCCCTTCATCACCCCGCATCTGAGGCAACCAGTTTCGTTATCTATTTCATTAACGAAGGCGATACAGGAGATGCAGGCTGTTCGCCTGCATACCACATCCGTTGTTTCATGCCATGCGGACTAATGGTGTTCACAACTAGTCGGCTTCAAATGTTCGGGTTCCGCTCTGCTCGCCATAGCGTGATGATGCTTGTTATTCAATCTCCCCACATGAGCCTGTTTTCCAATTTCATCTATTTGTAATTCCTTAGTAGCAGTCTGTCTGGTTACGTGTTTTGTCTCCGGTTTTCTTGTTTCTCGTTTAGTTCGGAGGCCGATGCAAATCACCTCAAGACGTTGGGTTTCCATGTTGTTTCTCCCGAGGAACAGAGCTTCGCCAGCCGGCGCATTTCACCTATATCATCCGCCCGTTCTGATGCTACTGTCGGTGGTTATCGCAATGAACCCGGTCGAAAGGATATTGTTTGATACGGTCGTTCTGACAGTCTGTAGCGCATTGCATACATCTTTCGAGCCCGTGTCTTTCCTCTTGATATTAGCATTTTCACAATGTGGTTTTTATGTTTTTTCTGTGATTATTACTCGGAAGACGATCAAATAACTAATGCTAGACTTTTTATCTTTGTTCTTGATCAATGCATTGGGCACTTGCCCATTACATTTCACCTAGATATGGTTCTATATCTTAGGTAATCACATTCATTCTCCTCTCTTGAATATCCCTGCGTCGGCATTTGGACTTCAGATGCAAGAAAGCTGTAAACAATAATTGTATTCTCTCTTTGACGCTCCCCGAAACCTTGATGTGAGGGACGGTCTTGAACGAAGACGCTGTGAATCGATTTCAGTGAATTTCGCGGAGAAAGCGTTATGTATAACAGACTAACATAAGCCTATTTCTTTCTCATTTAATTTTTCTCTTCTCTACAGCTCTTAGTTCAAATAGTCTGCTTCAATATCGCTTTCCAAGGTGACCACCGGGTAGAAATTAAGTCGACCACGTCTTTGTATTCGATGAACAAATAGAACTCAAACCCCGTAATTTCATTACTCTATCATTTTCCATTTTTAACCCTGAATACTTCCTCTGTGTAGCAGTGCAGTGCTGCTTTCCGAAACAGCCGAAATCATCTGGCCAAGGTGCATCCTTTGAGGGCGCGCTGACTGCGGTCTGCCATTGTTCACAGTACCATCAGTTGCCGATGGCGCGGATCGATAAGTGACTACCGCTCGTTTTGGAACAAATTGTCAGATTCTGACCACGCACTCCTCCGGAGTTGTCTTTCGCTCCGGTTTTCAGGGTCGCATAATGTGTAGACGAATGCTCGACATGCGAAAGACTGGCAGATCTGTTTGTCAGATGAATTTACCCGAATCGTCTTCTACAGTTTCAATCAACCATCAGATGTGAATCCCCACTGGGACGAAATCGCCACCTTTTTGCACTGTACTGGGAGTTTTGTTTGTGGCCGATGTTTGCAGGCCCACTCAAGTACTGGATATCAGAACGAACAGTGTCATTTCTTAAATCTCGGAGAAATATCCCAGTCGGTCGTGAACATACCATGGCCCTACGATTTATTACACAAAGTAAGAATTAGGGTGCGAGCCGACCGTGAAGTCTCGTGGACGTGCAAGGTTAAAGAAATGAAAAAGTCCCAGAAAGCCGGAGTGCCCGAAGATTATTTCAGTTGATCCATATGACCGGTACCCGTAAACCACCTGTGATGGAAACCATCAAGGATCAGAAGGGCGTGACCGTTCTGAATGGAGGAGAATCCCTCGCCAGTGCGCCGAATCACTCGAACAACAGTTACCATGGCCACCAGCCGCTACTCATCTGAAGCCCATAGCTAACGTAGGACCCTGGACGGTGAATGCGGCGTCCCCTACGCCCTCGGACGTTTTCTCAAGCGCCACCGAGCTTCTGGTCTGGATAACCTGGCACTCACATTGTTCAAATATGGTTGTGAGATCCTCAGTCTGCGCTTGACTGATGTGTTTGCCTGTGTTTGGGAAGGGATACAGTCCCAGATAACTGCGGAGAGTCGGTAATAGTGCCTATTTTTTAAAAAGAGCTCGTTATTTGTATTAACCATGGATCGGCTTTACTCCTGTCGTAACAAGACGACCTCCTTTGTGTTTCGTTGCTTTATAATGGCTCATAAAGCACTGACTAGCGAGCAGCAAGTAGGTTTGCGGCCTGGTCGGGGTTTTGACCAAATCTCCGCGTTCCGTCAGGTGCTAGGACAACGTCGTACCCACAAACGATCCACAATTTTAGTATTCCCGGATTTCCAATGACCTTTGAACTCAGTGGACTGGTCTGTTCTCCTTGACACGCTCGCCCATTAAGGAATGCCCCGGAAGTCTGTGAACATAAAAAGTTCTTTGTATTTACAGACTTCTGGATGTGTGAGATTATTCGGAGAGCTCTCCAAAAGCTCCCATAAACAAGACTACATCTCTCACAGGTGTCTACTCTCCCGATTCCTATTCACTTCCATGATCGATGAGATAATAAGACAAACGCTGGAAGTTCTTCAAAACACCGGTGTTCCAATAGCCTCTGCAAAAAACCTTGTCGAACTGGAATACGTAGATGACACCGTTCTCGTCGTCGGAAAGGAGAAGGCGCAGGTGTTTTTAGATGAATTGGCTAAAGTCATGGCGTCCTTTGGTATGCGCTTTGCATCTACAAAGTGTAAGGTCATGCTTGTGGACGTGCAGTCACTGAATCCACCACCTACAATCTGGGGAGAGGCGGTCGAAGTTGTGGAGCGTTCCACGTATCTTGGAGGTTGTATTATTTCTGAGTGTAGTGTGACGGATGAGGTAAATGCACGAACCTCCAAGGCTGGGATCGCGTTTGCTAATTTGAGACCCCTTATGACATTAGAGTGGTATATCCCTGAATCTCAAGGGACGTGTGTATCAGTCTACAGTACGGGCTGTTTTGTTTTATGACTTTGAGACTTGAATTGTTCGAGCAGCGGAATTGAGACGTCTTCCGGTGTCCTTTAGCGCTTTTCTCAGAACCATAGCTCGTGTAGGTTGATCTCGGTGTTTACTTTGGAATGGTGGCATCAGTGGCCAACTTTTTCATCAGAATCTTCTGGTGTTCGTTTTATCGGCGATGTTCATGGCCTGGTCCTTAAGTCTGATAGTGACGTCATGCCTGATCGGCAATCACATCGCCTTTGACAGAACTTCCATCTCTGAGGTGAGCTGATTAACTCTATGGTTTCAGGAAGAGCACGACAGACACACGAATGACCTGTCAGACAGGAGTAAGCTGACATATCGGTGGCCCTTATGAAAACAATGCTGGTATGTTGAAGCCGTCAGTTCGACTGGTGGGCAGCACATTCGCTGTATCTATGCTTGTCATTTTGGTGAGCGAAGGAGCCGCATTTTAACGCCACTCTCAAGGCTACCTCAGCGAATTCTGCTTGTTGGGATAAACGGTGCGGGCACTTGATCCGGAAGTGAAAAGGAAGTCTTGTCATCGGTTGTGCTGTTTCATAGAATCGGGTTTCGATCTCCTCTGGAAATATATTTGCTGGACTTGGGTATGCTGGCCATTATGTCTTAACGAAATGCAATTCTCCCTTAGGTGATGCTGGATTCTACGGCGTTCTTTTTTGGAGGTACTGTTGCCGTACATCGTGCTTCCATACTGTTGGGCTGATGAGTCTAATATGGGGCCTCTTCAACGTCTTTTTTTGCGAACAACCACGTCCTTCATGGTTTTAATACCGCAGTTGTTAAATTGTCTTTGATTCAAAAAATGTTGAATGAACGCTTGTACCCAAATGTGGTCAAAGCTTTCTGTTTGTACTAGTACGGTAGTTTGGTGTATTCATCTTAGTGCAATTTCATCAGCCTTTTTCTCGCTTTTATAGCGATGCAACTCGTCGGGCCTCATCCAACGTCCTGCGATGGTCATACCGTACAGCATCCTCTCCGACAAGCAAATGGTGAAACGGAGAGAAGTGACGAACTCAAACGAATGAGCTTTTCTGAATTCGTTGCCAGCCTAGCAACAGGAAGCAATATCGGTTCATCTGCTTCTGTACAGCGTAATGGACTTGGTGCAATGTCTCCAAAGAGTTTTCATGATAAGGAAAGTCACCGAAAAGCGAAGGAACTGGGATCCAACAGAACTAAGCGGGCCTCACAGCCGCATCGCCCACGAGGAAGTCAGCAGCAATTACTCAGTTTCATCACCCCATCCAAAAGTTCTCCACCACCGAAAATTAATTCAGAACTTCACCAGACTATACCCAATACGACGAACTTGGACGCTGGGACCGGCGATGCGACTCAATCGGATTGCATTCCTGCTGATAACTTTGCTCTTCCTGGATTTCGGTTACCACTAAACCCTAACCCACCCTCAGTGGAAGTAGGTGGTTTATTCTGTTCGATTTGTCTTTAAGGATTCCGAAGATATTGAGCTGATCAAGGTTAAGAACACAGAAGCGATCCTCGAAAGCATGCGAGCGAGCTATCCCAACTTTCCGGTGGATGCTTGCTTTGCAACCCTACTTCGGTTGAAGGCGAAAGCTGCTTTGAAAGAAGGTGGGTTTGAGTCCATGTGGCCGTTATTTTGTTGAGTCATGTTGACATAACTGTTTAATTTACTGTAATGAGAAGCATTTATCCGCGATGCTATCCTCTACTATCCCCTATCTAGCCGCCAACCAAGAATGTCATAGTACATCATAATCGTCATCAGTATCATTAGCTGTAAGAACGGTGTACTTGTCGTACAGTTGTTATGGCTGCCACAGTTTTGTTCAATAGTTTGTGAAGATGGCGTAGATAGCTACACATTGGAGGGGGTAGCTGATATGATTGATGCGTAAATACAAGGTTGTCAGTGGATTTTTACTTGGGGAAACCGCGAGGGAAGCTCTGCGTTGAAGGCATTAGCTTGGATGCATCAGCGCTATCGAGGGCGCGACTGCGCCATGTTTGACAATGTCTCTAACCATTGCTCTGTCCCGTCTCAGGGTCCCCATCCAGGGAGACGGAAATAACCAGCGTAAGGACTCTCATACCTCGATCCCAAGTCATTTTCGACCTCTCTTGGCTCGTTTCCACTCTTCGCGTGGTTGTGCGAAAACAACCCTTCGAGGGAGACGACCGACTGGCCTACGGAGCATGTGGCCAAACCAGCGCAACCTTCACAGTGTGATCAGTTCATGTCCCGACTTACTTCAGCATTGCTGGTCCGTTGTTCCCATCGGATTCGGGCAATGCTCCGAAGAAATCGATGGTCCAACACTGAAGTTCTTTTGATGTCCGCAACCTGCTGCGGCCAGGAGAACGGTGCTTGTGTGCAGTGACCCTTCCCGGGGCGGATTCCTACACCTGCCACATGCACGTGCTCCGCTGTTTACCATTCAATGTTGAATGCATGCGTTGTTTTCTCAACCGATTTGAACTTCGATACTGAACGCGGTGATATGCTGTAGCTTCCTTTTCCGATGCCACTCATGTTTCGTCAGGTTCAATTTTATCCATCGTGTGTGCAGCTCATACGTTTGATTTCACTAAATTCCATTTTCTTCGTTCCACTTATGTCTCTTCATATTCTGCGTATTTGAGGTGTCGTTCAATGATTGAATGGATTGTGTAGCTCCAGCAACTCGATCCCACTTTCGTTATTCAGTCCCGAGTTCTGATTTTGATGGCATATTCTTGCATCAGCATGGCATCAGCGTCCAACTCCATAGAACCATGATTTATTTGAAAGCGTTGTTGTCAAGACAAGAATAAAGGTGAACAGGGAAGGGACTTAGAGCTAGTGTACTACAATCATTCTGAGGCGCTTACTCCTACAGACACTCATTCAGGTAGTCTCGATAGAGACTGATAACAAGAACGCCGTCGACATCGTTTAGCAGTCCTATCTTTCAGCGCCTCCAACCATGTGCAGTGGAGATGACGCGATCACCGTCCTGAAAGGTGAGTAGCACCGACAGCACCCAGACGTTTTGTAATCTCCTTCGTATCCCTCTGCTAGGTCAAGGGTTAGCCATCTCTATGGTTCCGCCACTCTGAATGGGGCACAGAAAACAGCATTCCTCAGCAAACGTTGGTTTGGCATAAGCAGTACGCTCTCTCTCTCTTTTATTTTATTTCGAAAAGAGTTGACCGGAAAGACCACCAAAACCCTTTTTCTGGTTTGATTTTTAGTCCGAGTGCTTAGAGAGCTACACTGCATTACGAATGGAATGAACATGTGTAACTAACCTTCCACTCAAAGAGTTGGGGATATGCTCAAAAGCCTATCAAGGCCACATTGGTGGTCGCCGGTCGTGTAATCTTTTCTTCTGTGTTCTCCTAACTTCCACTTAACAACTAGAATTAGTGGATCGTTAAGGCATTTATGAAGCCTTTCACATTCTAGCGCGACTTACGCTGTTAGAATCTCATTTTAATTGACCAGAAATATTTATCTTTTGCTGTACATGCTTTGGCTATTAAGTTAAGGTTTGAAAATAACAGATTGGCTTCAAGCTGAGCTCTGTTGTCTTCTTGCTTACTTCTGATCGTTGCAGCAAACATATTGTTCCAATCTTTCTTCTTTGTTGATGGGTGACAGATAGTCTTCATTCCCTTTGGACTGAAAAGTATACTTCAACTGGCTATTCATCTTTGCTGTATAATGGGCATGGTGTCGCATCACTCCGGCGATGGCTAAAGCGATGGAAGGAGGACAGAGGAGTCAAGAAAGAGCCCCAGGGTATGAAAGAACCGCATCGGTCCGGACGAAGTAAGTCGTTGTTCGTGCTCACCTTTCTATTCACTTTTCATCCCATCCACTTACCACAGAGACAGAGTTCGTCGGTTGAAAAAGTCTTTCAGCTCTAGCACCCTTCCGGTGACTAGCTACTGTGCTAAGGGAAGGAGGCACGAAGGCTGGGATACTGCCAAGTTGCCCAAAGCCTAGACTGGAGCAGTCGAGATGCAGAGGTCGGGTTTGAACCACGGACCTTCCGGTCCGTAAGCTGGCATCTTAACCACTGTGCTATTTTGAGCTCATTTTATCATTTACAGTTAGTTTGGACGTGACGCTAGTTGCCTTTGGCTCCAATCGCCTTCCCTGTGCTTATTTCCTCTATCCCGGTCCCCGGGACTTCTTCCCCAATATCTCTCTCACTTCATAAATTAAAACTGGTATATCTAATATCAAGAGTTTTAACGTCTAAAGTTTCAAACTTCATATTCATGTGCAACCCGAAAAACACCGCATCTTGCATATATCATTCGGTTTTGTTCTCATGCATCCTTATGGAATAGGTTGAAATGTCCGGAGAACAAACTAACATTCTATATGGACGCCTACTTAATACTGTTTCAACTCCAATGCACCCCAGTTTCCGTCTGATTTATATTGCGTGTAGTTACTCGATCACTGTATCACCTTACCATCGAATTTCTCACACCTTTTTGAACATTGATGTCGCTTCCGTTTGGATACATTTAAGCTGTCTGAACCTGTGTGGTGTGCGCGCTTCGAGACGCATTTCGTTCGTATCGGGGCTCATCGGTTGTCGACAGCAGACGGCATCGAAGTTCCGAGACAACGACAACGGTTTCAACTATTATCCGGGGTTAGGGTTACCGGTTCTGGTCTTCCTGTGGATTCCTGGGGTGCTCACTGTTGATTATTTTTAATTGAGGTGAACTAGCTATGTGATAATTCCTGGTGTTATCATTGTATGTTGCTTTTGCTCATCAGGATAAAACTCCTGAATAACTTGTGACCGTGCGCAAAACTAACTTGTGGGTGCCCCTCATGGTCTTGTTGCATTCAGCTATGTAAACGGAATTGCTGCACCTGCTTTCCTCGGACCCAAAAGCCGACTATCCGCGGTGTTCAGGTGTCTTAATCAGGAAAACAACTTAGTATGCTGACGCTATGTGGTGGGCACAACGATGCAGTCATTTTACACGGAGCGTTATTCCAACCCCTTGAAACATAATGTGCAAAAGTTTCTGGGTTAATTTTGTTGTTTCTTTCGGAGGTGTCGGAATCGTCAAACAATCTTCCACATTGGTGCATTCACAGTGATGTGGTATGTGGCGGCCCATATTACAAGCGCGTACCTTACATTTGGGCACTCAGCTTCTTGTTTTCTCTGCAAAGTGTTATCTTTATATTGGATGCCGAAAGATGCTCCTCTGTTGTCTTCGATGGCAGAAACGTTCTCCTCGTTCACAGTCCACCGAAAAGTGGTCACTGTTCTCCTTTTGGCCAAGTTTTTATTCTTACTGTGTCACTGCCACCAGAATACTTCAAACCTATTACCGCCCGACCATACCTTGCTACCAAAATAAAAGTCTAGTTGGGTGTATGATACGCAGCTATGGCGTGTTCATCAGTTTTTTATTGCACACAGAAGGGAAGATGGAGTACGAAGTATGGACATAGACAACCACTGGCAACAATCAGTTCTCGCTGAAGACTCTTCCTACGCACTTCATAGTTTAATACACAGAGTGCCGACAGACTCAGGAGTTTGAAGTGACGAGCCACATGGCATTTGTGCTTTCTTGGACTGTGATGTGAACTGCGCACCCCGTTTAAATCTGCAGATCCGTCGTTTGCCGGATTAAAACTGCTTTCACTGATACGATGGGGGTTATTTTAATTCTGTCACATTTCGCGTGAAAATTTGAGGCGGGCAACAGGGCTCTGTGAATCCAATTCTACCAACGCCAACGGCATCAACCCAATGGTTACACCACTTTGGTAGTAGCAGATACCGCAGTCTGTAGTGACAGCAACTCGGTGCAAGTCAACACACTCGGCCGTTAGCATTCCGATTTCACTTCAACAAAAATTTTGTGGAAGTTGGTGCAGGTTAAGGTCACCCAGTCAGCAACGTTCATTTGCTTTACCCGGTCATGTAGAACAATGGGCACATTGCAAAAAACAGTGGTCAACTGGCACAATCGCTAAAGTTTCAATCCAAAGCCTCACTACAAGTGCAGCGTTCGAAACGGCGTCCAAGTTAATTGTTTCATTGGTGAGTCGAAACCTTCTTCCCAATTGATTCCTGGAGTCACCACAACTGCTAGTAAATTATCGCCAGCCCAATCATAGAACTCTAACAGTACTGACGGTCTTTTGGAAGGATCAACTCTGGAAGCAGCTGGACTAAGATTACCGTGTACCAGTCGGAGATGTCAAGCTCAGTGGTCATCTTGTCATTGGCTAGTCAGTGCACGAGCCAACCAATAACATTGACCATCCAAAAGCCAGTCATAATCGAATGTCGTTCTTCCCCATAGCGAAACAACTCTGTTGAACGTCCGCACCCCGGCGCCACGCTAATCTCTTTCACCCTGATGGTATCATGTCTATTGATTATGGAAGGATTACAAACACATGGCCTATATCATCGGAATTCGTCGCAATCTCAGGTGATAACAGTAATACTGCCAGTACATAGTTTGACTCATCGCGTCAGCAGTTAATTTTTAGCCTGTTCAATCGTACTTCAGAGGATGCTCCGAAAATTCCAGGACACACTTCCTGAAGATCTTTGCAGATGGGGTCTTCACTGTTTTGTCGTGTTTTCGTCCTTATCTGGTAGCAAACAACTCAGCGTCTGACTAGCCCCTTACAGTCTATGAGGGTTAGATACTTCAGCAAGACATGGTAGATATTCACACCTTTTACCCCATCAAAAGTTGGTCTCTGTTCTGTCATTATAGTGGTCGACTTTCATTCTCAATCTCAGCCTGATTAACGATGGCACACCCTAACACCTTCAAAAGTGTTCTACATCAGAATCGGATGGGTGACTGCAATTATAATTAATTCACTTTATCGCGGCCGATTCGTGTTGGATTCCGGCTCGCCTCCATGAATATCACGCTCGTGCCCGACAGCATCTGTACAGATGGAGATCCAGTCATCTTTCTAACATCTGTGGGTCGACGACAAACCACAGTCACCGACATCTCATTTGACGCTGGACAACCAGGTTCGTAGTTAATTTACTCTTCCACCTTGATGACAACGTCGGTGTAAGTCTGGGTTGAGAACCTTCTTTGCAAGCTCGTCATCCGACCTGTTGGAAACGTGTCCAAACGGGCGACTTTTACGTTTCTGTATGTGTGCAGAAATAAAACAGCACTGGTTGGGATGCTATCCATACATTCACCAAAGGTATCTCTCTTTTTACGGATTACGCAGCAATGTGACTAAAACTCATTGTTAAAAATCTTACCATGAGGCGATCCCCTGGAGCTGTCACATACCGTTCAAACCACATCCATTTTCCGCCTTTTGTTGTTTTTACTTCAGTTACTTCAGGGTCTCTCCTTGTGACTTATGAATTTGGTTTCCGATGATATCCACCACCTGTTCGAAAAATATCGTTTCGTTCCACCTAGCGGTGAGAGAAAATCGTGTGTAGTCCTATAGTTTTGCACCAGAGTTACTACTCATCATTGTCTCTTGGTCCACCACAGCAACTGTTAGTCTACTCAATAGCGGATTCAACCACAAGACACCTTTTTGTTTTTATTTACCAGAACGCTTAATGACAAGTTCCAGTGATGATGAGTTTGTTCCTGAGTTGCGAAGTGCCAGACGTCGCAGAACTTCACTCACTGGTCCCGGTCAGAAAGTCCCTGTTGAGGCTAATAGTGTGTCGATGCCGGAAGACCAGTCGTCGATTCACTTGGATGTGGAAAATCCGTACTCCTCTGAAAGTTCAGTGTCTGAAACAGAAGGAGAATTCGCAGATCTGACCAGTGAAGAGGACGACTCGTTGTCGTGCGGTTTTCAGAAATTGCGCGAAAGTTGGCGAACTAGGGCGTACGTGATCTTGGGTCCTCCTGGAACTGGGAAAACGTCTCTGGTTTATGCGCTAGCAAACGACTTTGGATTAAAGGTAAGTTTTCTCTCCAGCCTCTGTTAATCGACTGACGTAGGTTTTTGAACTTAATCCGTCAGTTCGCCGCTCTGGCAAAGATGTTTTGGGACAATTTCAAGTCGCTATCGATTCCCATCAGGTGGCTAAAGAACATTTATCCGACAGTTTCAGTACGTTCCATATGACAAGTGAGTTATACTTCCTTCCGAGGTGAAATCCTCCCTCTTTCAGGTACAACAAAAGCAGGCGGACAATCCAAATGTCCTCGACGCTCAACAGCAAACTTCTTTCAACCTATTACTCGGGCTTCCAAAAGTTCCAAGTCTCCCAAGTCAGTGAAGAAAAGGTCTACTTCCGTCGACAAAACAAGTACTTTAATTTATTTCCTCTCGGTTTATACATATCTGATATTCCAGGTCTCAAAGGTCTCAATTTGAGCTGTAATTCGCTACTGCTGCTGGATGAGGTTAGTCCCAGTACCTCATATTTTTATCATACTTTGTTCCGGGTCTTATCTCGGATGTTTTTGTTTATCGCGTGCATAGTGCACTTCTGTCGCAAATCGCTCCGAAAAAGCAAGTTCCCAGCACGCAGTGTCAACTGAACTGCGACGTGACCAGTCACACATTACCTCATTCAACAAGATAATAATCAAACTATCGTTATTCGATCTGAATTTACTCATTATATACTGTTTGCTCTATCTCACCAGGAGAATGAGCATGGTTCACGTAATTTCCAATAGACTCCGCTCATGACAACTGTTTTAGGCTGCCCGAAATTCGACTGTCCACAAAACCAAATAGGACGACATGAGCCGTGAAGGCAATGCGGCATCAAACTAAATTGGGTTTTAACAAATACTCTCATTTGTTTATCTGTTTGATTTTGACAGGTGATTCACGGGGAACCTAGTTGATTCCCTCATTTACGATGGTTCCGAAACCAAATTGATATGCAAATGAGCGTATTTGCCGAAATCTGTCTAATTTGGGTTCAAGTAGAACATAAGTTTGACAACGCGGAGACTGCGCCTCCTGATGATCCCCAAGGAGGGCGAAACCGTTCATGGACTGTTGAAGAGGTTCCAGTAACTTTATGATTGGTGTATTACGTCTATGTGAAATGGGTTTTATTTTCCTCCAACACACCTGTGGGTCTCAAACGAGCACAGACTTGTTTTCCTCTTAGACAGTAATACGACAGCTAGGAAAGTATTTGAAGGAAAAGTGGCGTGTTTCGTGACTGGGTTCTCGCGTAAGGTACAGTCTTCACATGTCAGCGGCTTCGTAGACGGAGAAAATACCGGTAAAATCTCGACGATCAAGCGGAGTAAGCTTCAAGTGTGTTCTAATTTGTATTGGTTGGTGTGACTGGCTATGCCTTACGGATGATCTCCCCGAGACCCCTTTAAGATGCGCCACATTCTCTATATCATCATACTTCCAGGGATAGACACAATTCCTGGCATATTGGCCTCCCTTGCAGCTGATTTGAGGAAGTGATTCAAATGCTAGACGTAGGCAGCAGGCATTTTATCTGCCCAATGGGGTTAATTTGCGGAATCTGCTATTACATCCTTATTTCTGCTAGTTTGCGTCGATCTTCTTAACCAGAGTTTCATTCGAACCCAACCTGCGTTGACCGACTGAATATTCTTGGCTGGTATGGATATTTGACTGTGATATCTGTCTAAAAAGAATTAGAGCAAACTTTTGGTAGAATTGAGCCCTGTTTTACCACTAAGGTGTTACTGTTAGCTGAAAGGCGAAATTGCCATGAACCGCTCAATGATAAGCCTGAACTACCATGCATGAATTACATTCTGTAGCAGATTCTGGAAGCCAATCCTTTCACGTGTTCTGGTATACATTGGCCGCTCGTTTAATGGTGATTAGAATGCAAGGGAGAGAGACGCAGTTGGCGTGCTGACCATATTCGTCCAAGTCAATTTGTTAAAAGCGAAATCCAATCCAAGGATAGATGGATCGTAGACGTGGCGCGAATTCTCTTGAACGCAAAATATTTGTGATTTGCCTGTCATTTATGTCGCTCACCGTTTTTAATGGCGCAATGTATGCAAACATCCGTAGGTGTAACCGCCTGAAGAGTTCGCTGCAGAAACAATCTTACAGTCTGCAGGCAAGCAGATGCCTAAGGGATGCACTTTCTTTTTCACTGCATCTGCGATACTGCTAGTTGAAACCATCTAGAATGCGTCATATCCCTTCATTTACTGTTAGCATTTTGAGACTGCTGAATTACCGACTATTTACTACACTGATGAAACACGAAAATCATCATATCGCATGTCTTTAAAAATCCGCAGTTTTTGCCTTACTGATGCACTGTGTGACAAACTTGACTGTACACCTGCAGTTTCCGAGACAATGCTAAAAGATTTTTGAATAGAGCTCAGTTTCTTTGGTTGAGCATCAATTATCTGCTGCAACAGGAACAGCTGATTTCAGAATTGTTCTCCGAGGCATACTTCCAAGTCCTAGACACTCGATATCACTGGGTGCTTGTGACTTTGACCCGATCGATCAGGTGCAATTTGGAAATAAACGGTTTGTCAGCGGAAAGACGTATACCTCATCGAAAGTGGCGCACTCTCATCGCTTGTTTTTTTTACGTGAGCTCTACGTTCCAATTACAGGTTTTTGGGTATTCCCCTATTGTGTATTGGACTCTATCAGCTTGTCCAAAACTAGCGCAGTTGGGCGAAAACCTTCATATTATTCTCATCTCACCTCCATCTCTCAGGCTGACGTGTTATTTGACAGTGATCGTGGTTTCTGGTCTGCCGTGAACAACCTGTTGCAGCTGGCCCGCCGTCCGATTGTACTCACAGCCTCTGATCCATCAATGCTTCAGAATCTGCCGATCGCCTTTCGGGTGTGTCATGTCAGAGGACCCTCTTCCGTGAGTTCGTCCAAGTGTTTTTATGGTCGTCCGCTGTTTCTTAGTGCATACCACGTACATGTCACTTTGATCCTTGCTGTCCCTCTCAGTCAGCGTAAAGGCATTCCTCTACGCTTAAGAAGAGTTTTCATTCGGAAAATAGTGAGTTCACTTCTTTGTCTACAGTTATTCTCTTTCGGATGGACCGCCATCAGAAGTGTCTTTCAGCCGTCATACTTTGGCAGAAGAGGCTGTTCCTTGTCTGTCTCACCAATTGGTCTCCAGTGAGGAAAAGTTGTATTACTAACATTGTTTAGTCCCTTCTACTTTGTTCACATGCGATTGAGTACCGCACCATTAGGATTTTCCCCTGTATACATCAGCCGCTCCATCGTATAGCAAAACTTATGTAATCCGTACTGTTATCCAGTCAAGTAGCAGAACTACAAACATGACTTCATACGTGGCCATCTCGTTACCCTTGCCGATCGAGAAAACCAGCCATGAAAGTAATCTTTATTGTTTAAAGTTGAAGTCAGCAGTGATCGGAACTGGTTTGAAATTGACAATATGACTATAAGTGCAGTGTCTGGAGACGATCGAGATGCCCGTAATGTTTCGTGAACTAACATGAGTTATCTGCGTTCCCACTGTTCGGTCGAGGGTCTCTCAACTGTGACCCGAAGGCCATTCCTTTACCGGGATGTTTTATGAACCCATTTTTCTGTCTAGTTTGCTGTGTATCTATCTGAATTTGACCCTGGTAGATTTGCCCTGGTCAGGCGAGACGCTGTCCGTCTTGTCAAACTGCTCAAGTGTCAGTCCATGACCCGTTCTGCTGCGGATCTACTGTTCTCTGAACCTTTTGAAAGTTGATACTACCCATGAGTAGTTTAACTTTACTTCAATTAGTTTTGTCAACCACTTTGTCTCATGTCCACTTTGTCCCATGTACCTGGGGTGTTAGCCTTACCGCCACCATACTGTCGCTTATTCCGTCGCAGGACTTAATCGCCCCGTACTTGCAGTTGATTTCTCTCGCTGAAGGACTGCAGTTAAGTCCAACATTCGCCGAATCGATCTGCCGACAACACTACAGCCGTTCATTCTATGCTTCCTTAGATGCTACCCCATCTAATCACGGTGACGTGAGAAAATTGATTAACCAACTGCAATGGTATGCTTCCATTTCAAAAGAACACAGCAAAGTGGTAAGTGCTGCACACCTACTGTGTCTTGCCTCCGACGTGTCAGCTCTTGCACCGAAGCATAGTGTATGTACTCTACTTCAGTACATTTTGTCTGGACAGTTCATCTGGTCATTTTGTTATATTCCCAGGTTAGAACCACAATCAATGGCTGCTCTTTTAAGGTTGCTATAAACCCGTTGCCTTAAACATGTCTTGGCCTGGTGACTACTCGAATCCCATGTTATTCGTCCAGTACTTTATTCCGAATGAAGCACCTTTGAAGACACTCGTGCTCTTCACTTCGGTGAGAATGTGAAAAATTGGTTTCCACGACTTTTTCGAATGTAAGTGGTGCCTGGAAAGAGTGCAAACATAAGAGACTTAAAGACGTAAAAGCCAACGTAGCAAGTTATTCATTGTCCGTAAAAATAGTTAATGCGCATTAGGCATACTCGTCAGTATGAGATATTCGCAGAAGTTACCGCCTTCAGGGCTTTAAACTTCTGTCATTCAACACCACACCCGCACACCCGATTCGTGCGGAAAATATCTGCTAACGACTTTGCTTCCTATCAGCCTTCATTAGATGTAAAAATTCTATCCTTCACTAAAAAGCGACTCAGACAAAATGTTAGCAGTATTGTCAGACAGTTGAATATCCATTAGGCCATTTTAGTGTGATTGTAATTTTTATCACACATCTCAACAGGAAGTACCTTTATCAAGGGACATTTTGTCATCCATAATCTATGTGTCCTAGGGGAGAGTGTACGGTAATCTCGTTTTTTATTGCACTGCTTTACTTCTCTTGCTGTTCACATCTTTCTCCAACAGATAAAGCCAGCTTCTCACACCTTTCTCATTACCAATGCCACTCTGTTAGAATGGTTTCCTAACGTTTGTCCCCGTTTGAGTTCAATACGGTTGCCCGATAGAAACGCGAAAAAGATGGAAAGGTCGCCATCGGGAGACCTTAAAACTCATGATGATGGTCTGTCAGATTTATTTACGGATGAGTCACAGGCGCCTATTCCTGCCGTTTCCCCGGTTGCTGCTTTGAATACTCCCGTAAGTATTCCGGATCCATGTCTGTATGTTTCGTTATGAAACTCCTCTGTTGTGCAGTCCTCACATTCCGCTGCAAGTAGAGCAGCGCGCTTATCCCGTGAGACATACACGTTATAGGAATTTTAGTTGTTTCTGTTTTCGTTCAAAATGAGCAGTTCTATTTATTAAAATCTCATTCTGATTGATTGTTAAGATACTGTGGTTATTCAGATGTGATTTTCTGGGTACGCGATAGACAATCTATTCGTCATCTTCTTGATTTTGCGCTGCATAGTGTACATTCCGAGACAATTGGTTAGCAAACTGCTGGACAGTTGTTCAGATCGTGGTTTATTGTGATAAACGCTCAAAGCAAGCGCTTAATTTAGCGATGGGATCTTCAGAACTTCACACTGTGCTGCTAGCACCCAGTAAGCTTTTTAAATTTGCCCAAATTTCAAGGATCTTCGTTGATAATGCTTTCAGCACGTAGTCTTAGCGATAAGTCGTTGAGCATACGACATTCTTGGTGCTTAGAGTTATATCTACTCGAACTGTTGCCGTTTGTATCCCGCCGTACCAGCTTTGGAAGCCACAGATAACGTTAAACCAGAAACCAGTGAGTGCTATTTTCACCATAGGCAAAGGTTTTAGCGCGCTTACAGACCTATATTTTCATTCTAGTGAAATTTGGCCGAGTTTTGTTGATTCTTTCCAATGTTACGGCACTTTCTACAGACTCATCACAACTATACATTCGACGAATGTCTTTCTTTTAACGAGAGCATCGCGACACCAACTGTATGTAGGCATGTAAGTACCGATCTTATCTTTGTAAAAATGAACCTCCAACCACAACTGAGTCTTTGGAGGCAGTCAGTTGACCAAGTGCTGGTCTAAGCTCTGTTGGATCGAGAAAAATGTAGGTTGTTCTGTTCTGATAACCATATTCCTTTTCTGAATAACGAACGCCAGGAGTGCGATCAACGTCGCCCTGTGCCTAACCTCAGCTGATCATCACTATTCCATTATTGATAGAGCCCCATCAATGCTTGCAGTAGGTGTGGACCGTTTTGAGGCGTTTACAGTAACCTCAGAGTCAAAACTGTTAATGGTAAGGGGTTTGAGCACACCAAAACGTTGAGCTTCGGCAGACAACCCATTATATGCATCGTTCCCGCATGCTGTTCCGGGTTTCCTAACTCGATGCTTTCCTCATTCAGTTTATGATGTTCATTCTGCTATTTATTCACCGTTTTTTATGTGATTTGCTTGATGTTAGAGTTTATATCCTAGCTTATTGTTCAGTTTGCATCTGTCTAACTCGACTACTGTAACTTTTATTTTTTTAGTCCAAGAGTGCATCTGTTGCTTCCATACACTCTACCCCACCTCTCCAGCCTTCCATCAAATTGTATCGTTTGCTTCAATTCAGTTTGGATGAACTGGCACAGTGTAGTAGAGAGCTATCCTTATTTGACTGCACCCGTTCAGCTTTCGAACGTTCCTGTCTCAGCCGGATATTCGATTTTGCCGGTTGGCACTCTACAGACGGTCCAGCCCCGTCAATCGATGTTCCTCATCCAACCCCCTCTGAGGAATTCGGAAATAATACAACGTTGAGTCGTACGGCTAAAACCCAGACTGCCTACTGTACGACATCATGCAATCCTACCATCCCTCTCTCTGTGGCCCCAGTTCCTCCATTTGACGATCCTGACAATACTTTTCCGGATTATTGGGCAAATGTACTTTCTCATGTCTTCAAATTCAGGCTGGTCCGTTTCGAGCAGGAACTGGAAACCCGTTTTCAGGATGAAGTCATGGCTTTTCAGTCCTCTGCGACAATGTCCCCCTTACTCCCGAAAGCCTCGCAGTGAGTCTCACCATTTATTTTAACAAACAATATCCTTGTGTAGGATGCCTCTGGTTTATTGCCTATCGGTCTAAATCACTTGTTTCTGTTGAAGTTTCGGAGTAGTGTGCAATGGCTACTTGATTTGTTCTCGGAGCTTTAGGTAATTGTAGGCTATCATCATTTTTTATTGTACTCGCCGGGTTTTATCGGTAAACATGTAGTGGGGTTTCGAAAAGCTGAATCCCTATCGAAACGCATTATGTGAGTGTAGATGGTGTAACGATGTATACTGTTGATAAAACACAAGTAGTCTATTGTCCGGTGTCCAGGCTCCGCCCCAGTATCTGCCGAAAGGTGGAGGTTACTATGGGAATTATGGAATCGCTTCGCAGTGTTCGTTTATAATTATTTAGTAGTCGAAGAACGTCCAGGAAAGTTTAACAGGACTCTCGGGGATGTTCACTCTTAAAAAACTGTGCAGATGAGGTGCTTACTTTCGTCTCTAATTACTTTCAACTGCTTTGTTCGTGTTTGCTAATAAATAACTTGGCAACAAAGGGCTTTCCTCCTCCCAATGGCATACACTTATTATAAGCTGTCGGCTTCAGGGCTACGTAGCCATTGGCTAGACCTTGTTCGAATTTTGTAACACTAAGTTGCGCTGCGATCATGGGTTGGAGAAAGTGATTCTTTGTTATTCGTTTTATATCCTTTGAGTCGCTTAGTTTCAATAGACGTCTGTAACCATAGTGGTTAAGTAGAGGTTAGAAATCACATTCAAGTTGTTGCGCATATTGCTGATTGATCTTGTTCATTTTTAGTGGCCCGTTCCTAATCTCTCGATAGTCTTGGTCTAGGCTGGAATGCCTTGTCAGCATCACAAACCTCCTTAAGGGTTGCATACTAGCCGCATCTCGGTAGGATAGCGCCACTGGAGATTTTCTTAAAATCTCAGATTTCATCACCGGCCCGCATAAGTAATCCCACAGTCCAGACGACCGAAGTTCCCTCTTCTGCAGTCTCCTCCCATTGAGCGTGCTGATAATCAAACGTCTTCCGCATTAAGTTGCACATCTATCCCTAGTGACTGTATGTGGTCTAAGCGACTTTTTCATTTATCCCAACTAATCGACAGCGTCTTCTTTTTTCCTCCAGTCCCGTTTGTTCTCCGCATCTGGCCAAGCTTATTTCGGATCTTCGTGCAACAACGAGCACCGCTCGTAACTTGAGCAGCAGTTCCGTTTTCGCCCGCAAATCTCTGGTTTGTGACTATCTACCCTATCTGCGGACGATCGCATCCGGCGAGGCCGCATGTCAGGCTGTCTCAACCAAGCGTCGGTAGGTCGTGCTTTTCCACTGAAAGTCACTTCCACTCGATGAATTCTTGGTCGCCTTGCCAGATGCTTGTCTTCTTCAATTCGATTTATCCTGTGCACTAACGAACTCATCAAACGAACACGTTTTTTAGAGTAGGAGTCGGACTCAGCTCTAAACGCCATCGTCTGTTTCATATACTTGATTATGTTGAGTGCTATCCGAAATGTCAAAGTATTTTGACTTCTTATTAACGAAGCCAATAGTTTTTTTGGGTTAGATGTGGGTTTGTGCTCCCGTTACTGGCTGATGGTGACGGCTACCCAAATCTAGCGAACACTTCTTTGAGCTCACTTTTCTCCCGGTAATATCTTTTGTACTCATGGTTCGTTGCCACTGGGTTCTCCTTAGGTGCAAGTCCTACGTTCCCCATTTTCAGCCAATAGAATCATGCGATGAGGCAGTAGACCACCTTCCATTGACAGTAGGTACGGTCTGGTATACACATAAGCGCGAGTAAAAAGCTCATTGACTCCCTGTCGATGTTTCCGTCCCGAAAATATTACTAATTCACTGCCTCTCCTAGCCAAATTCCGCTATTGCTTGAATGTATCTCTTGTTTGTCTCCCATGCTTAGAAGATCTAAGTTTTAGTCTTTCAATCAGGCGTCCTCTGTCATTTTGAATGTCCTTCGTTTATTCATCATTGCTTACCTTCTAGTCTATTGGCAATACTCTTTGGAAATGCCAGTACATAAATTCCTTGCTATATTATCTCGGTAAAATGAACTAACCATAGAGTACGTATTTCGTCTTCATGAGCAGCCCATTTCTCGTGATTGATTTTTACAGTCATTTGAGAGAGGTTGTTGGATGAAAGTTGATTCTGTTCGACTCCTATTCACCCTTTATACTTTATTTAACTGGCTCTTTCGAACAACAAACTTGAATCTTACTTTTCCTGGTTCCGTGACATGTCATCACTGACTCACCTTCTTGATAACCGGCTTTGTTACACTGGTGGGTTTTGGTTCATCACTCATTTAGGTGTGCCATGCCTGTCCTATCATTCTCCTTACCTAGTAAGTTGTGCAATGTCATTTTTGGAAACTTACCCATGTTCTTCTCATTTTTTGTTCCAGCTTCTTTCACTATTTTGACCGTATCGGCCTGCCGCTCCGAAAATCGACGCGAGATTTACTTGCTACCCAATCATTTGCGTGCACGACGGACACTCGATGAGAGTTCGAGTTCTGGTGTCTATTTTTTTACCGGCGTTTTTTCACGAGCTATGATGTTTTATTTTGTGTACACTGTTATCAGTATGTGACTTTATGGATACAATCCATGAAAGCAAACCTTTCCCTCTTTTTGTGCTCTGTATTGGTGTTTGGGAGATTGTAGGGCTAGGGCCCGTGTAACAGGCGAACGGTATCTTTGAGTGACGCATAATACCAGAACCTCCGGAAGGCAAAACAAAGTCGGAGCTGGGTTTCTATACGGTACTATTAATGTAAGACAAATTCACAAATAATACAAACCTCGACATTAGATACTCGTCCAAAACAAATGGTCCACTTGGACTACAAGAGTACAGACCAAAGAAGCAAACAGGCTCCCACGTGCGACAGTCACACGTGAACAAAGTCGGCCACAGATGGCCGGATGACCTCAAGGCCAAATGGGTGAAGGTGGAAGGACAAACAAACGCCAATTCATCTACACACACTAAATGCAGAAGTGGGGCGGGGGTTACAAATGGGCGAATTTCAAATGTCAACGTAATGGGTGATACACCGCCCACCAAATTCTCCACGTTGATTCAGCGGATACCCCTGTTCTTGCATTCTACCTACGCTCGGCTCCATACCAATGTACCTCATCAGCCACCGACACGAATGGTCCGAGTTCACTCCTGCCACAAGTGCCGACTTCGATGGAGTACAAGCCTAATCGCGTCCCTCCAGTAAACATACCTTTCTAATATCTCTCTTAAGAATTCCGCCCGCCGTTCCAACATGCAGGGTTGGAACGGCCGCCTCACAACTATCCACTAACCCTAGAGGCCATTCGTCACGAAGCACATCTCCACCAGAGGTTAGAGCTATTTTTCTCACCCTGCCTTCTTTCATCAATAGATATTGGTTGTAACGTAGTAACCAAGCTATAACCTTCTGCAGCTTCACCCAACAAGAAAACTGGGCTATTAGTAGGCATAGGCCATCATTTTGTTCGAGTTTATGGACATGTACTATAAAGCTCTTCAACCCGGATGGCTTTAATCGATGCTATGGATGCCAAGTGCTCTTTTGTTTGATTAAAAATCTAGTCCTATTAGCCATCCACGCAGCGGAATGAAGTTGTACGTCGCTCGAGAGACAATGTCGATTGGGCTGTTCTCCGACGTTGTTTTGCCTTCCTGGAGGTCCTGGTATTACGCGTCACTCGAAGATACCGTTCGCCCGTTACAGACTGCGGGATTTGTCTGTCACCGAAATACTAAGATCGGTCCCTATCCATGATCATCATCATCAGAGACAGCAACTTCAATGTTGGCACTGATACTCCACTGCCGCACAACCACAGTTTATCTAACTAAATTTAAAGCCTTAGAACCAAAAGAAGAGAAGTGTGGGTGAGGGAGGGTCCTGGTGCTGGCCTATCGCAGGCGTTCCGATGTGCATACACATCCAAGCGTTCAATCAGACGATGTGGAAAGAAACTGACAATACGAACGCCGTTGACAACCACCATCCGCCATCTTATGCAATGTCCTCAGCCAATCGCAGGATGGATCAAGGAGACCCCACCAAGACAACACCCAAACTCTTCGGAATCTCTTTCACACTCTTTTCCCAAGTGCTACCACGATAGGTGGTGGCACAATCGGTTTGTGCTGAGCCGACCGTACAACCAGCTGGACACAACGCAGCTAGTGAAATAAGACTGGAGGGGGCAGTTCCAATGTCAGCACGCCGATCTTGGTAACCAATAAGTGTCAAAAGGTGAAGACAACTAAATCGTGACAGTCGACATTTATTCAAAGGCACTACTCACAAGACTCGGGCGATATACACACACGTGGTTAGCTGTTGCTAGCCGAAAAATAATGATCTGTATAACGGTGGTCTCAGGTTATTCCTAGCATCACTGTGGGCTTAAAACTCCTAAATATTCAGATGGGTCACCTCCAGACACATACGACATGATACGTTGAAGTTACCAGTGCTAGAGGGATACAACCCAGCAACGCATGTCACAGGCTTGGAACTCCAAGCGACATTACTTTCTTATGTATTTTTGCCGTGGTACTTTCCGTAAGCATGATGAGGGCTGTTTACACACATCTGAACAGTTTCAGGATATCAACTGTCGTCGAATCCGTATATGGCAACAACCAGAATATCGTGAGATCGGGCCCAGAGTTTTGGTGCAGCTATTTTGATTCACATTACTATGTAGGGGGTTAGAGGAACCTCATTCGTGAACCGGATCTAGTCGCTTTGAGTTGTTGAAAAAATACTGAAACGAGCGTCACACGAAACGCCAGATTGCTAGCTTCTGCACGAAAGACCGAGCGGTCACCAACTCCCAATCGGTTGTGAACTGTGTTTAGACCACCATTAGTCATATTTGGCAACCGATACATATCGTAACTACAATTAAATATTGTACCGATGTATGTGGTTCTAGGGGCGTGGTGCTGTGCGGTTCGTTGTACTTACACGACGGAGCCCGTCTACAACGAAACTGGTATTGCGGCGTGTTGGTTGTTCTTGATCTGGAATGTTTCCCACCAGAACTAGTGTTCTTTAGTCAATTCCAGAGTAGGAACACGCAGTTACTGGCTTGCGAATAAATTGGCTACAGCTTGTGTTACCGGTAAAAATGGAAATCATCTAACGAATCTAATTCAATTTGACAAGAACGACCACGGAGGATTATAATGGGAGATTTGGGAATCGTTGTGATTCCTCCTGGAGCCGTGGCCGCACGCACAACCTTGGACAGATTAGTATTGGTCGTACGTCGTTTTATAAAGTATTTACTTTGCCCGCAGATAATTTTTGAGGAAATACTGCATTCACAGATTTGAAATAAGGTCATTAGGCTAGCGAGACATGATTCGATTACTTTTGAACTATCTGCAAGATAAAGTACTTCTTTCAAGTATTTTCTTCCTGATTTCCGAAAATATTCGGGATGAAACGTTGTATTGTCGCTAAGGAGTAGCCAACTGAAAATTAACTGAAATTGCGATTGGCCATTCGATTCCTTTGTCTTTGGAATCGCAAACAAAATGTGCGTATGCTATCCCGAAAGGTCGAAATAACTAAGCACGAAAATCGCTTTGAGTGCATTTGGTCTAGCCAATATATGTGAGATTTGCGCTGATGAGGTGTCAACTGCTACTTCATCGGCATCAATTCTTGGTTGGAGACGCATTTGTAGAATTTGCATTCACATCACTGTCTTCTAAACAGTTTTCCGCACAACGAAACAAGCAGGACGACAGTTGGCTTTTGCTCATAAGCTGGATTCTCTCAGTAATGATATATGTTGTCAGTCAGAAACAGGGATAAAGGACGCAAATGCTGCGATTTAACAGACCGCCCTCTCGCTCCCTTCAAGGTTCCGGCTGCTAGGCTCTGTTGGTGAAGAGGACGGTGCAGTTGGATATGCCGGCGTAGGAATCGTATTGGGCGATCAAGAGTAAGCGTTCCTACTTGACTGGATGCCCGTTGACAATCTCCTCTGTGCGGTCCCTCTAGCAGTGTCTGAGAGGAACTCGGAAAAGTGAGGTCTATTGCACCCCGTTTGTTGTATCTGCTGACGTTTTCACTGACTGGGACTAAATCTGCCAAAGACAGCTTCCATTAAGCTATAGCGACCCTTTTACATCGTTGGGGTTGCTGGTGACATCAATGCCCACTTGGGTAGAGTAAGAGCTGCTAAGCCCCGGTTGATTGGTTGTCTTGGATTAAAAACGAGACCATGAACTGCAGAGATCGAGTGTTTCAGAGATGTGCCGATCAGACTGTCCCTATCCGAAACAACGGAGTTTGCTTGAGAAGGTACTACAAACGAAGCAGAGCCGAAGCCAAATAGGTCACATTGCCGTCAGTTATCGGTGGCGAGGGTCGATCACCGCCTGCCGCTCATGCGTGGGCTCCAACCATGCACTTGTGCGCCGCTGTATTTCATAGCGCTTTCCAGGCTTACGCAAAACGCGCGCACCGGGCCCAGCCATGGAGAGGCTAGTGGACCTGTTAATCAAACGAAAATATCAAAACTGGCTGCTCGAACGTCTGCCGGGCCCTCCGATATCGAATATAAACGGCCACTGAGAAAATATATACAAAACGCTACACAAATCTGGGAAATCTGTCCCACAACCCAGCCAACCACATCTAAACATTGGATCTCTGACAGTATCGTGTCATTGCTGGAGCCTCATCGGCAGCTTTCTCTGGCTGCAAACACAAATCTGCTTGACGCATCATCCTACGCCAGGAAGTTATGGAGAATTTCACATACTTCGCCAGCTGTATCCACTCTGAGGGAAGTATGTCTGATAAAGTCAGTGCCCTAAACTTAAAGACCCGAATCCCATTTGCTAATTTGCGATACTTGTGTCGCCAAAAAGGTATATCACTCTGTCTCAAAGGCCATGTGTACAAGCCTACAGTAAGGAATGTATTGTTTGATGATTGCGAAACGTGGCCTCTGTGGTCTGATGATGTGAATGGTCTTCAGGTTGTTTTGATCACGGATGCCTCAGAAGCGTTGATGATTGCAGCAGGTATTTCAAACGCACAAAATAGTTGGCATCACCAACTGGGGGTGCTACCAATGCCGAAATCGCGTGTAACGAGAGGACTGTTGTTCTTCCCCCCTCCTTTAGAATAGCGTACACCGAGAGGTAGATAAGGTATGGCAAGCCAGAATAGCGTGAAAGAGATTACGAAGAGTTTGTGTGTTGTTGCTGCAGTGCGACTTCGGGTCTGGGGTCTCCGAGCTCCCTCTTGCGCTTTGCTGTAGGCTTGGTAAGAAATGACGGCTAATCGATGCCAGTAATGTTCGTGCTGTCAGTTTCCAGATTGTCTGATTGAGCGCCTGGAATTGTAGGCATCTCAGAATGCCTCTAATGAACCTCCACTAGTTTCCTTTTCATTTCTTTTTCTCACCTTTTCACTGCGATTGTTTAAGTATATTTAGATGAACTTTATTGTTGTACGTGTTGTTGTAGTGATGATTTAAAGTGGTAATGCTTCCTCTGGTGATGATTAACAGCTTTTGCTGTTCTAGCTGTGTGTATTGAATATTAAATAAGGGAAGCCTTAATTTCCTGCTCATCAGCAGTGTGTACCCGTGCTTACGCATTTCGGGGTTTCTAACAAACTGAAAGGTACTGATTTAAATTCATGCTGTTCAAAATCAGCAATGTGGCAACCGATTGTCCTCAACCGGGCACTTCCTACGTCTTCATGTCACAGTCTTATCATACTGAAGATTTGCAAAGATTTTAATGTACTAAATTACCCTGACTTACAAATAATTTTTTGTCTACAGGAGTGTCAGCTGAATCTGGCATGTGTGCTATTCTCCAACAGAATATGTTCTACAAATGCTAGGTATTTCATCTTTGACGATCTCCAAGATATTGAGGTAGTTTCCCTTGTAAGAGTGAATAGGACTCAGTTCGATTGGCGGTGACGCCCGCAAGCTTTAAAATCCCCAAGGATACGTCTGGTGTCCAGGTAAGTTCCTCACTCAACCACGTCAGATCGGAGCACGGTGTCCGCCCCCAACCTGAGGCTAACTCAAGTTTAGGTTTATTATTGAGAGATTGATCGAAGCGCCATTCTTGTGAACTGCGTTCTCAAGTTGTAATATAATGGGTTGAGCTTCCAGTGCCTTCTCACGTTTGAGTGCCGATATTTCTTTGTTTCTGCTTTCGGCGGGCGAATAAGGTTCATATTCCATTCACCCATATGCACTATCTCGAGAAGCTGTGTTGCAGGAGACCATTTATACTGTTCTTCGGAGTGTTCGGCCAATCTCTCCAGTGAAAGTTTGTGCGGGTGAATTAATGAGCCATCTTTTCCACTTATCACTCCAATGACCGTGGCTTTCCTAGGTTCATTCGATTGTATCAGTTGATGTAGACTCGTTATTTTCGATAGGAATAGCTTTCACTAACTCACCGGGCGTTTTAATTTGCAGCGGAGCTCTCTGTCTTTCCTTAGTCTCTTCAGTATTTGGTGTCTGAAGGATTTGCGTGCACCCTCGTACACGTTTCCCGCTGGTATGGGATTGCAGGCATCAGTCAGGATTAGCGATCTTGACGATATCAAGTGGTCATTAGATTGTATCGGAGAAGTCTGAAGGGCAGCACTGAACGTCACTAGCATAGCTTCTTTCGCACTTTGCCATGTTTTTTTCCACGAGTTCGCTACCAGTTCAATATTCCTTTTGTTGTTGAGCCAGCTCAGATCGATACTGCTGAGATATGGTAGTTAAAGATGGTGGACTGGCATGCGTATTACTGATTTACGAGGGCTTAGAGGGAAACGAACTATCAGCCGTGTACGCTCTACAAAGTGAGCGGAATCTAGTTGTGTGCCTCACAAAGAACAGCAGTCTTGAGTTGTGACTCGCCACCAGTGGCTGATGGCACATGATCCAACAGATCCAACTCAACAGTTGATATACAATTGGTGACTGCCAGGTTACGCGTTGCGAACGTTTATGCTGAAAGCTCGTACTGGCTAGAAACGGTTCATGATCAGCATACAACTGCAGAGATCGCCCTCCGTTTTCTATGTGACAATCATCGACTGAGAATCGGCCGCCCAGATATGATTCCGAGGAGCTCAGACGACCGACTTGGGCATTCAGATCACCCGCGAGGTTCACACTGTCAGTGCTTCATGCTCGAGGAATAAGCCCAGATAGCCCTCGATAGATACTATACTTCTCAGTGTCAGAACTACAGTCTGTTGATTTGTAAGCTGACACTACGAACAGGTAACGTTTTTTGTGTTGGGGCGCTGAGCTCGATTGAGCTGGATAACCGGACGGCGCAAAGACGAATGTTCACTGGAATCCAGTCCAGCGAAGCGCATTCAGCTCTAGGACTGATTGCAACTCCCACTTCATATATCCCACGATCCATCGCTACTAGATCAATGGACACACGGAGGGAAAATGTGAAATAGTTGAGCCCATCATTGGAGTTCTGATATTCAAAACCATGCTTGGACCTTGTGTGTGTGCCTCGGAGACACAGCATACGTCAATTTCAATGGAGTATACATTTTCAGCGGGCATTGCCTGTTTGACATAGAGTACGGATATCGAAAACTACCATGTAGAAAGGATCTCGTGAATTTAGCAATGTATTATTTTGTTTAATGCTAACAGGCAGTCGTGGTCATGAGATATGTCGGTCAGGTAGTTGGCAGCAAATCACCCAGCAACGTGTGTTTGTGTGTTTAGAAGCGGTTGAGGGACATCAGTGGACAATGTGCAGGCAAATGATACTCGCCGGTTGTCCGGGCCGAGGAAGAGAGCTTGACTCAAGTACCCACCTTGAGCCCTTCACTCAGTCTTTCTCGCAAGCGACTGGAAGGATGTAAGGTTTTTTTCGGGTACTCTGCCCCTAGCCTCTGACTGAAAAATCTGACCCGGGAGGCAGCGGGTAATACTCTTTTTTCGGAAGGACCGTTCCCGGAGCCGATAACTCTATAGTTTGACCTGTCCGGCTACAGGCGATAAGCCTATCCCAAGGGGACAGGGAGTAAGGCATTACTGTCTCACTCCTAATACAGCTGAGAACATCAAGTGCCCTGTGAACAGCACCGGATTCTTTGGTTTCAAAACTATTTCGACCGTATTGAATGGTCGCTGGGGTCACGACCGATCATTGGGTGGTGGGAGTTTGCGGTTTCTAGGGCCGACTTTTCCTTTCTCGTCCTTCCTTGGGGGAAGGCAGCACCACTCTTCCAATGACTATAGACGTGTTGGTCACCTGAAGGAAACGCCTTCCTGCCTCCACAGTCTTATCGAATAGATAGTACAACTTTACCCCCAGACCGCCTCGAATTTCCAGCCTGTGTCCCGCGTGGCCAGTATTCAGTATTCAAGCTCGATCACCACGTCAAAGCAGCTTTATGTCGGGATCAGACAGTGTAGTCGGTGGCAACCGATAAACCTACATTACGGAGCACGAGTTCGGTCAGCCACTTAGACGGATATTTAGAACAGGTTTTCTGCTCGCAAAACAGTCTGTTGCCTTTAAGTGCTCATCATTAGTGGATGTGTGGGGACGGCTTCCTAGACTCGTTGTCACGGCTTACGTTCAAGTATCTCCCGAACCTAAGTCATGGACTTCAAACGATTTTTGCAAAAGAGAAGTGGGTACAAATCACTTTAGTGCCATTTTCCGTCAGACGACTGCAAACGAGGTTCATATCCGGTTTGGCAACACTTAAACCTGCCTTTTAGGAGTTGCTTTTCAGTATCGTTGCACCGGACTTGAGAAAATAAAAAAATTTTTGAATCGTCCACCCTTGGTCATGGAGAACACGTGGATAACCTATGTCACAGGATCCGAATTACTTCCTTCATATGAGAGCGAAAAGACTTATTGTATACGTTACCAACTGCCTGATGATCATGGACCAACTATCTTGCTTGGACCATTCAGATTTTTACGTCCAAAAGTGAAAACTTATTCCAGATAACTTTAACCTTTTTCAGCTATATTTGGAAACAATAGGATGCTCTTACTTAAGTAACAAGCTATTGGAAAGAATATGGCACTTAATATTTTTTTCATGAGGGAACTGCTCTAGACCAACAAATCAACCTACCGTGTGATTCGACAAATAATTTTCCCCCGGGAAGCAATGCGATGGAGTCACCATGATCAAACAAACTTGAATGACTCGTAAAAAAATCAATTCACTTCGGCATAGGTGAGTTTCTCACGTTTTCTATCCTTTCACCTAAAGTTTTTCAAGTTAAGACCGGCATCTGCCATACAGAACAGGAAAAGTGGAGGGCGTAAATTTCAAAGTTGGTCATTAAACAGTCTATCGGTTCCTTTAGTACGCACCGTCAGATAGCCGAGATGAGAGTCCGTCAACCGGTTGATTGCTTGTTCACGCGCATGCCATTAACACCTGTATAACTGGCTGAGGATTCCAGAAACCTTATAAATGCCACAAATTTTAGTGCATTTAAAAGGCACTTTAGAATGAGGCTAAACGTTAACCAACCACACTATAGCACCTAAATGACGTGGTGATGAATCTCGGGTTTACGACCCACGGTTTCGTTATTTGATTCTTGGCAGGCAATAGTCCAGGTAACAGGATACCGATGAAAGTCCGGCCACTAAATCCGGCCTGACTAACCAGGAACCAGTTCAAGGCCATCGCGGACGCCGGCTTTTAATGTAAAATCAATCTGTTTGAACTGACCTATTCTATACCTGCGGACGTCCAGATACATTAAAAAAAAGTTTGCGTACACCTACTCGGACAAACGAGTGTAAATGGCACACATATGGTTGATATCTTACCTTCACATGCATCATGAATAGATGAGAAATATTTTACTCTCTCACGTCTCCAGCTCTGTCCCGAATTAGCATTTTTCTTCCCTGGAAGAAGGGGTGTTGGGTTCCTCACCTCCTCACACAAAATGGTCACGTGTTCCAGACTTTGCGTCTGCATCCAGGGTCCTGAGCCGGACTAATGAGATTCGCTGAAACGTAGAGGAAATTCAAGATTATGCTTGCTGATCCAGCAGTTGTGTGCACCAGGTCTTACGATTAGGTCGTTTCCGCTCTACATGGAGAGAAAGATTTCCTCATGTTCAAACTGCCATCTAGGCAGTAGACGACTCAAGTCACTTCAGACCATGGAAGATCGTCGTTTAAACTTGTTGAATCAACAGCTCTCTAAAGAACAGGAGAAGGCATCTAGACAGATAGAACTTCGCAGGACCCAGTTTCAAAGACGTTTCTCACAACACGATTTGTCTCATCAGAACTTGAGGGAAGTGGCCCATGTGAGTACGGAAAGAACATCTAGGATCAAGCGACACCGGAGCGTGCCTGGTACTAAACGTCGAAACTCACTGGGGGAAGCATCACAAGAAAACACAACTGTGTCTCTGCATCCACACTTCTGGTTGCGGCTTCGTTCCTTGGGTATTATGGATGACGGACAAATTCCGGTTCCAAACATAACTCACAAAAGTTCATTACAATGTATGCGTTGCCCGAAGGATGTTGACTTTACGGAACGCTCGGATTCTGGATTACAGTCACCCCCCATTCAGTGCCCAGTTAATTCACCGGCCCCAACTATGGACGCTATAGGATCTCCAGCGGCGATTTATATGGCTGGTGGAAGTAAAGTTACTTTCGACTTTGAAAACAAACAGTCGGGTAGAAAAACAGGATCCCATTTGGAAATCAGTGCAGAAGCACCAAGGAAGGAGACCAAACCAACTTGGTTGATGGCTTTGCAGAGGCTGCGTGAACAGAAAATGCTCAAGAAGCATTTAGAACAACAAGGAAGGGAATTCGGAGCTCGTGTTTGCGGGTGCAACTTTTCCAGCGGCACTATCCTTGAAGGAACTGTCCTTAAACAAAGAAGTGATGAAACATGAGCTGAGCACTATTTCCGTCTATGTAACAAGGACACATTTACTCATATATCGCTTTACTGCACTTCTGCAGTCCACAAGCAACATCCATTACACACAGCAAAAGGAACGCAAAACTAAGCCGTTCATGTGTAGTTTTTGCTTGGACATCAGCCACGACCACGTTTTCAAAAGCAAGTGTGTAAGTTACCATCAAGTGAGAATTCTCGGCCGTCCTTTTTTCACTCAAAAGAACTTTAGAAACTTGTGTTGTTCAAACAGCTTCCAGATATTCCCTTTCCTCAAGTTCATTATCTGTTATCAGGCATTGTGGTCCTCTATGTTATAAGTTAGCCGATTGACAGAATGCTTTCACCAACAACCGAAAGATATCGGATTATAATCATTCTTCGGCTTCTGTGTGGTATGCAACGCTGCTGTGTCTAGTAAAACCGAAACGATTTTGCGGTGTCTAGTGGGTTTTAACATAGGTTTACTTCATCACTGAGAATAAAACACGAAAGTAAGTAGCTTGTTTTGTTGCTAAAGCACGCTACCCCCAAGGTTGGCGAGATATATTATACATAGAAGGAACATATTTGGCAAATGGATTATTTTTCTGTTATCTTCGAGGAAAACTGGGTATTTTCGCAAGGACACACAGATGGGTTGGTCCACTCGGTATGTAGAAGACGCACTAAAATGCGACATTTTCTAAAAAGCTCAAAGTATAAATGGACAGGTCAGATGGTCAATTTCCGGCTATTTCGTAACTCCTTAGAGGTGGTTATTTTGATAAAACACGGGTAGTGAAACAAAGCCGATGGGGTCTCACAATAAAACGTTATATTCGATAAGTTTTAGCTAATTTATTGACCATTATGGCGTATCTAGTTAAAAATGCTTTGTTAAGATGGAGTTTGTCTAGATTGTTGCGATCCGGGGCGCTTAAAGTTATTGCCCTTGGGCATGAGTTACCACGTTGAGGAGAATATATTTATCTTTTTTTGTGACAACGCTGCTTAGTATTTTATTATCAAAATGCCAAAATCTATATGGTTAAAGGATTTTTAGAGTGGGCGCACACATGTTTGTAACAGCCATATATGTGGGTTGCCGGTTCTGCGTAATCATCAGACGACTGAGGAAGACAAGCGAGTTAGAAACGAGAAATATTCCTAACTTTGAAATCCTTCCATCTACCTGCTCATTCGCACAATTGTTCGCCCATGAATTTTGGGACAGGTGGGATTGCCACTACCACTCCCTCACCGCTACTCTGCATTCCGCACCCTAAAAGCACTGATAATGCCACCTCGACTGATGATGAAACATTTGGTCGAATTGCCAAGCTCAGCGACTTTACTGGAAGCGAAAGCGTGGTACATGAATGTTAACGACTGGGAATAGATTGAGATCTTTGCTTTCTAACTGATCGGCATCTCAGCGTAAGCGTTCAAGTAAAATGTCATTAATGTTAACTGTTACATTATTAATAACATGACAGTGTTTGTCGCTCCGCTATGGTGATGCGTCAGTTTGCATTTTTCAACTGATTTATTGACTCAATTTGTTCATTAAGCGTAAGTAGCCACGCTACGGATGCTCACTTGACCACAACTGCTCCACAAGATGTGGACATTAACTCGCCAAACAAACCACTGTGCAGGTGACGTAAATGGATAAGATGAGGTCACTGAAAGGGGGAAACACGCAGATACTGTGAATATCAAACTGACCAGTCAAATCGATCAAGCGTGAATATGTTCTTCTGTGTGGACGTAATAATCAGCTTCGTCCAGCGGGAGCTGAAATAGTTTTGGTAACAAGTTCACATGCTATGTTTGATGTCCGGAGTTCACATCTCGACATGGCGAACGATACGCAATGTTGAACATCATCACCATCATTATCATAATCAATGACAAAAACAGCACCGTTGACACTGATTTTCTACTGCGGCACAACCATTAAATTCATCTAAATATGTACAAACACCTGGAGTGAAAAGAAGAGGAAAAAGAAGGGATGGAGACGGGAAACCGGTGCAGGTCTATCACAAGCATTCTGAGATGCCTACAATTCCAGGCGCTCAGTCAGACAATCTGGAAACTGACAGCACGAACATTACTGGCATCGATTAGCCGTCATTTCTTACCAAGCCTACAGCAAAGCGCAAGAGAGGACTCGGAGACCCCAGACTCGAAGTTGCACTGCAGCAACAACACACAAACTCTTCGTAATCTCTTTCACGCTATTCTGGCTTGCCATACATTATCCGCCTCGCGGTTTACGCCATTCTGAAGAAGACGAGGAAGACAACAGTCCTCTCGTTACACGCGATTTCGGCATTGGTGGCTTACTGCCTAGAGACACCCTAGTCGGTAGTGCTGGTTCTATTTTGCGATCGAAATTTCTGCTGCACAACCGAATACTCGTTCTCTGATTACCTCGTTACGAATACCTTCATGCAATCATCAGTGCTTCTGAGGCGTCGATGATCGAACCAGCTTGAATACGCCTCACATCGTCAGTCCGAAGAGGCCATGTTTCGCAATCATAAAACAATACAGCCCTTACTGTAGGCTTGTACACATAGCCCTTGAGACCCAGTGATATGGCTTTTTGACGCCGCAAGTATCGTAAATTAGGAGATGGGATTCGGGCCTTTAAGTCTAGTGCAGCGACTGCATAAGACAGATTTCCCTCAGAGCGCAAGCCTATAGATGGTATGACGGTGGTCAGTTTATTGCACGGGGCTTGTGCTTCGTCCTCAAGGGTGAAGACAATGTCATCTGCGTACTTTGGATCGACAGGGTTCTCACCAGCAACGATTTGAACACCGAGGTTTTGAATATTTTCCAAAATTCGCCTCACTGTTTTATCAATGACGAAGTTGAACAAGAACGGAGATATTCTTGTCAGACACCATTTTCTGTAGGGGAGCTTTTGGAGAGCCTACCGTACAGTCTCACGCGCTCAAAAGTATGTGAATACAGGAACCGCTTTATTTTCAGAAGCTTCTGTGGCATACTCAGTTGAGCAGTTTGGTTAACCACACTGACGGGCCGAAAATCTGAGGCACCTTTGAAGTGAAGAAATACCAGGATTGTGAGTCCTCTGTACGTACGGCGTTGCTCTAACAGCTGACGGCCCGGCGAAGCATCTCTCTGATAGAAATCCCACTCGCTCACGAGTCAACGATTCGTGTACCGCCATAAGACACGGGATAATCAGTGACGCCAGAAGGCTTGTTACAACTGGAGTCAAACTAACACCTCTGCGGTTACCACATTTACTAGGAGTGACCTTTTTCAAAATGGGTACTGTTATCGATTCACTCCAGTTGTCTGGAAAGGTATCTTTAGCCCTGATGTACCCTAATCTACTAGACAGGTTGAGCAACTCACCGCTATCCCAATGGAGAACAGGTCGGGATCAGCAACACGATGATGCTTAATTGTAGGTATACACTAGGACACTTGTGAGGTTAAAGGCAGCTCCATATTCACAATCCACCTTTCTGTTGGAGGCCATGATTACGGAATGGTGGTAGCAAGTGGCCAACTGAATTGCTGTTCGAAGTACTGTGCCTACCAGTCCATACGTGCTGCTTTGCTGGATGTTTGGGAGCCATTTAGGGCTCTGATAATTTCGCTGACAATAGGTCTCCGGGGGCCAGCCAAACGAATCAGGTCAAACAGCCTGCGGATGTTTCCAGCATTTTTCACATCTTTCATTTTTTCGGCGTTTCGGGTCTACCAAGATTCTTGGTCTGTACGGACACTGTTAAACCTAGCAGTGTTGTGGAATGTAGGTAGCTCGGGTGCGCTGTTTGGTTGTTGGTCTGTTCACCGAGCTTGGGAGTTGTTGACTGCTCCTCGAGTGACGGCTATATTAGTATTTTCATTATCATTAAATCGTTCATTGTTTCTAACGAAGGCAATTTTTGCCGAAGGAAAACGCTAGCTGCTGCCTCAGGCCACAAGCAAATTGCGGTCAGTTCTTTTTCACTAGAAGCTCATAAACAGTGTTACTCTTGGACAAAGACGTTTTCCGATAAGATTAAATGCGTCATTGTGTTTGAATCACAAATGTTATACAAAAAACGACGTTTGTACTCAACACATCGGAACAAAATTATGGTAATTAGGCTCTCGAGAGGACTGCTTACACAATAGTACAACTGGTTCAGTCTCACATTATTCAACTCCCATAACCCTGGAAGAAAACACGCTGGACCAAAAATCACTTTATTTCATTGGTGTCACTCATCACTTGATTTTAACAACCAAAAACTTCGCATATAGCCAGTTTGGTTTGGATACAGTATTTCAACATTGTCTAGCTAGACGTAACTCCCAAATCTGCGATGGTACACCCAGTATCGATCATTCAGCGAAGAACATATCCATATCTGACCAACTTCCATCCACTTGCGCCAACATAGTCCAGATATACATGTAACTGCTCTTGAAACAAAACCGATTTGTTGAGAACATCCTATTCCATCGATTCCAGCTCAATAGAAGTGATCGGAATTAGGGTAAAATTTGATTTGATTTGAGATTTCAGCAATCAATGAAACACTTCAAAGTAGTGACTCGTTCTGATTTGGTGCATCTTTATTCGCATAGCTTATTTTCTACTGGTCAAATGACAAAGAGTAGCACGCCTAACAGCGGTCATTGTACACCACCCTGTGGTACTTACGCGTACACTGACTGAAACTTATGGAATGTTGTGATGACTTAAGTGAGAACACCTCCTTAAAAATTCCCAAAAGTAAGGAAGCGATTCTCCGAGCTGATTTATGACCACAGGTAATTCAGTAAGAGTCCAATTTCATGGATCTCAAGTGATTACTGAAGGGTATCATAAATTTAATATCCAGTTGTCTTTAGTTAACACCAGTTCAATTTGTAAATGAAGTCGATCAGTCTCCTAAATAACTGAAGAATGGAGAACTCCAGACAAATTGAGGTAACGACCTCAGAAGTATCCGAAATCAAGGTAATCGAATCCTCACAAAATTAGTGAAAGTTCTTCGACAGCCCACGACCGGTTTCGTCCTTCTAGGAGGTAGGCACAGCCCCCGAATTTCCGTCAACCTTTTGTTCTACTTGAAACCAAATTGGACAGACCTCGACAAATACACTCATTTGCACATCGGGACCTGAACCTACCTGATGGGCCCCAAGAGGGGCAAAACCGATCATGTGCTGTCGAAGAGTTTTCAGCAACCTTGTGGGCAGTTTCCCTTATGAAAATATACTGAGATTTCTCGAATATCGTGCCAACTGAGACATGAGGCGGTCTTTATGCAGCATATTCAGCTAAGGAATATAACAAACGGGAGACTGAGTAGAGTCTCTCATGAAAACCCGGTTGGTATGCAAATGAGTACATTCGTCGATAACCGATGTCTCTTTAGAGACAACCCTCCACAGGAGAGAACGGTTTTGGCCGGAACCTTGGGAATTTTACCCGATGGACGGCACTCGTGTTTAAACGTCGAAGAATTCAAGCTACTGTCTGAAGCGCCAGTAGTATCATTTCTGAGCCCAAGAGAGGTGTAAATCTCGAGAGAGAGCACCAGGGAGGTTGCCTAAAGTCAGGGTATCTGGCTTATCAAAAGGTAGATCAGATACAATGGCCCGACTGAACCATAGGACCTCCCAACGTTATTCTCAGACAAACTCTAAAATGTGTGACACCTATAGTGGTAGTGGGGTGCAAGTGTTCCACCATACGATGAAAATTCGAAGTGAGGGGAAATTTCGTAGTCATAGTCGCAATTAAAGGCAGTACACAAGTAATTAATTTTTATCGTCTGACTCTCATTGAATTATGAGGAAAGAATGCTCAGGCAAGTTGTTGGATGGCAGCAGGTGAAGACAAGTTGATAAACACCGTAGTCCTCAAAGAAATCGATTGACGAGGAAATATCAACGAAGTAAACGCATATGAGCATCACATCGAAGTAAGACACCATCACCTAGATTTAAACAACGTCCCTTGAGGACTTCACACGGCAAGAAGCCGAGCGGAGATCCCATGGCGTTCAGTTTAACTGCAGCCAATTCTACTTCAGTTTGCGGTATCTGTCCTCCATAAACCTTTCAACAACAATGGTTTGGAAAGCAGAGTAGACCGGTAGATCGCAGTTGGGCATGCGTATGATCCCAAGAATCCACGTGGCGGAATTGTGGCACACCTCATAAACCTCAGGTAGATGACATGACAGTTGATTGTCTGAAGTTCAGTGGACTCGAAGTTGTTGAGCGACTGATCGCCTTTCAGTGGAATAACGGCTCATTGTACGTGAAGATACGTGAGTAGAATCTTGTCCCAACTGTAACTGATCAAGTTATTGACAACCTGAACGTCTGACAAACTTTACCGACAAATCCTCCTATAGACCCTTGTGTGCTCTATTTGTTTCATGTATGCAAGTGCACAACTTGCAGTTCTCCACAGTATCAGAACAGCGATATTTGAAAAGTTTGGTAAATTAGCACCGGGTTATCGAATAGGTAAGCATTAGGAAGTCAGTTACCTCATCTACCTTGATGAAAAGCACAAATCCCACATAAATGCCCCGCAGTTGGTTGGAATTTCGAACGAAGACACAAAAAGAACGACTCCGATTTCTTTAGTTGGACCCGCGTCAGGCTTTGCGCGAACGGACAGAAAGGAATTCCTTTTGAACCGTTCGCTCATCAGTGGTTGGGAAATGAGTGTAGATTTTGCCAGCCTGTCGACTGAATACTAAAACAGACGGAAATCGCACCGCTTTCGCAATACGACACTGTCGTTGGCGAACTAAATTTCGGTACAGTTTTGTAAGAATACGATACCGGCCTAACAAAATGCAGCTGGTCCGTTTTAGGTATGACTTTTATGTGGAGTGTGGGCGCACACAAGAACGGGTGCGATCAACATTCTATGCACCTTTCTTGACGAAAAAGGTGGCAAAATCTAGCCGAAGTATACCGCTGTTTCGAAGATACAGAAGTCCTCTTTACAACAGAGGTGCTCCCGGTACAACAAGCTTATCTTTTATGGCCAGACTGATTCTATTCGGAGGGGTTGGGATTTTCTTACTTTTATCCAACCAAGTATAACAGACGAAGCAGTAATTTTAAGTTTAAGACGCTTGATGCACAAAAGATGCCCTGTTCCTGATCTTACATTTATGTGTACTGGAGGTCCTTCAGACATTTTCTTACAAAACTACATGCATTAAGGAAGTATAATGGATTTCAACTAACCCTTTTGTGCCAGTTTGCTATACGGTCAAAAGGCAAAACCGTTATTTGTCCGAAACCTACCGTTGAGAAGAAAAACTACTGCATAAAAATGCATCCAGCACACATCGATTGAAAAAGTTAACTGTTTCTTGGAAGTTCATTGACAGACAAAGTGCTTTCCGTTGCATTGAGATGGTTTCTCTTTGTACTTTAACTCCACGATCTGGATGACCTGCATCTGGTTTCCAAAAATTTGCAGTCGTATTTCGAGGTGGGAAGAGCAAGTTCAGTGTGCATAATAGTCCAACCCAAGAGAGATCGCTTCAATCCCAGTTACGACCGTTTCACTCCTTTGAGAGCCCACGGCTTAATCCAAAAAATATTACTCTTGGTATCCACCAGATATCCCTACTCAAAAAAGAATAAGATACGAAATTCGTGTTTTGGGTTCTTCAGTATTAGGGCACCAGGTTCGCACCTAACCGCAGTATACACAAGTATGTTTCTAATAGGGTTGAAGTTTCTAAACAGGATTTTCAGTTAGACGAACCTCAAATATCACAGTAATTTATCAAAAATAAAAACATCCAAAGAGGTTACTGCCCCACAGAAAACATAGCACCGTCATCCACGATTGGAATGATGGTAGCCTACTGGGATGTGGAAACCAACCAGTTCTAACCTAACGTGAGAAACGCAGTAGTTTGGAGGTCAACCACATGACAGAGCCATTCCTTTCAAAGGGAGTCCTTCGGACTTTCCAGTTCACTACCCCTTAGCAGATAGCGTGCGATACCATTATTCCTCATTTTATACGTCACGTTAGAAACAGGGTTGTTAGAACACCTTTTGAAACATTGACGTAAGCTACTACACAGCGTCATCCCTAAACGAGACTGCCAGCAGGACACATATTCTCCTTGGAAAGCGCAAGTTGGTGCATGAGTCCTCGGAAGAGAGAACATCCTCAGGAGAATCTCATCAATCCCTTCCGAGACATCTCGTCCACTATGGTAGCTCCCCCAAAACAGACCGACTCCCCCTCTAGGGAGGCCAACCCCATATCTGCCTCTCGACTTCCCATGTCCAGGCCTGGGTAACCTGGCAGTATCCTAGTCCTCGTGCTTCTTTCTGATGTCATGGCAGTTAGGCACCGGAAGGGTGATACGACCAAACAATTTTACGATGCGTTAAAATTGATGATTCTTGAAAGGCTACCCAAAAGGCTCCCAAAAAGACCACTTTCACTGTCTTCGAAACATTCCATCCGAACAAGGATCGATCAAGTGACCTCTCGAAAAGGACACAACTACACACCTGTCCTATCTAGACGGTCATTTCGGGTTTATGTTGAGTGCTAACTACCCACCTGACAGGTTAATGTGACTGCCGGTGTTGACCAAGTCGCTGACACGAATTCTCCGTTATTCCGGCTGATACGGTGCGATTTGTAAGGGTTCAGTAATCAAGCAAACTCTGATTGTGGCCAGACATCGACCAGTTACGTCAGCTATTTGAACACACCACATTACAGCTATTTCGTACGCCAAGCTGTCCGTTTCCCAGTGAAGGCATTGTGATGCCCTCGTACTAAATGGTCTCTTCAGCAAAGGTTATAATGTCATAAGACATCTTCATTTTGAGACTAACGTCGTTTCATTGTGTCAGGCCAAGTTATAAGGTTGCACCGATCGTCGTATCCTAATGCAGATCGAAAATCAAGTAGCGAGATAAATACACTCATTTGGACATGAACTGGGTTTTCACCGGAGACTCAGCTGAATCTTTTGTTCATGCTATCCTTCAGCTTCCACTAGTGACTATTTAACTTATCAGTGTCTAGCCTGAACCATGACACCCCGCACCCCCACTGTGACCACAGTACGAATAAATGAAGGGACCTCCTCGAGCGGTGTTATTGTGAATACACATTGAGGGAAGTGACTCTTCTCCAACTCATTATTTTTGTATTTATCGACATGGTCCTTCTAGATATCTTAAGACTGTGGGTACCTGGTGTTGTGTTCAGTTATAGATTTTAGATTCCAGCCGAATAGGTGAATCTGCAAAGCAGGCTTAATTTGCCATGGTTGGTCTCAAAACAGTTCCTTGTTGTTCAAGGCTGTGAAGATTTGGGTCATTTCAGATAGCACTGGATGGTCACTTCACATTTTCATGTACGTCCAGCTACTCCCTTTTTATGCTCCTAGTCTCTGAATGTCGCATTGGACCTCATAACCGTTCATATGCTGTTGTCCTCGGGCTGCCTTATTTCGGTCAATGAGGGATATAGCATCGCCAAGTTTGTGATCAGAGTGCACAATGACCTCTGTTTAGACCTTGATCCCCCATACGGTCACGGTGGCTAGAGTTGCTGCTGGGTGAAGTACCAATGCCATTAGGGGTGAATAGATTTAGCGAGACGGAGTGATAATGTCTATACGATGGACGATTTAACAAGCTTTGCTGTAAACTCGCACTTAGACAGGATATAGCGCCGCTCATCCTTCGATCACGGGATCCACATCACGCGATCACATATGTTGACTGGCTCCTCGAGCAACGACTTCTCAGATAGAAGTTTCACTCATCGGGTGAAGTTTATTCTTCCACTGAGCTACTTATAGATTGTTGTTAGTGTGAGGAGATTTGGGATCTTTGTGGACGAAGCTGTTCTAGTTCATGTCATTTAAATAGGCTTTTCAAACCGGATTGAATAAGCGCCTGATTACGTTTTGAGGATTCCCCTATTCGGGAGGTAAAGACACTCTTCAGGCTCTTCGTACTGAGAATTTACTCATGAGTTCATCTCCAGCAAACCATGTCTGCAAAGAAAAAAACACTCCTCGTAAAGATTTTCCTTGTTCTGGGTCTTCTTGTGCAGGAGATTGTTGTGCTAGTCCACAAGCGCAGTATGTGGACAAACAGTCACTTGTCAAAATAGGTCAACTCGGGGAAAACTACTAACATCTCAAGTGTGTGAAACGATGTGTGGTTTTTTGCGGAACTTTCGGTCTCTACGTTGCCATGGCAGCGCAAGCCAAAAAAACCATGTGTGATCCTTGCCCCGAAGGAGAGGTTGGAAAAGGTCGACCCTAGAAACTTCACATTCTGATCACCTAGGTGACCAGCGATGAATTATACCATACAGTCGAAAAACCAATGACACTTGCCATGAATCCGATGTGGCTCCAAACGCACGGCAGCATCGGGAGTGAAACATTTATGCGCTTTTTTCTTGCGTCCTCCAATTAGACCAGCTCCCAGTAGTCCACCGGAGTGCACTATTGGGTCTTCGGCCCAAGGCAAAGTCCCCCAAGAAAACCCACTGCCCGCTGTCAAGCGGGTAAGATATCTGAGTCGGAGGCTAGAGACAGGGTCACTGAAAAAAGCCACTTAGCTTCCACTGTCTCGTGCGTCGCTGGACCATTTGATTATCAATTGTGACCATCCCACTTCCCGTTACCAATGAACAGTGACACCGCCAAATTTACGAGATCTTTTCTGAGTAAAGCCTCTACCGTCCGTATTCTGTGTCAAATTAGAGAACAGGAAATGCTTGTCTAAACCCTATATTCTCTTGAAGTTGGTATAAACTGTCTCTGAAACAAGCGTACAAAAACTCAAGACTTGAGCGCCCATGAAAAACCCAGTTCTTTCATATTTCTCCCTCCACGTTTCCAGAATCGATGAGTCGTGGACTATATGACATGAGGATTGCACCAGCCCAGACCTGAAAGCGCTCTGCTGGATTGGATTCCAGTGAAAAGTCGTATTTGCCACCAAGTGAAAATCAGCCGTGGACAACGCGGCCATCGGCCACCGGCTCAGTAAATCATCCATAAAAGGCCGGTTGGAAAGATTGGCCCAACAAATCGAGATACAAGTTAGCTGGCCTGCTGCAGCACGGTCACTTGAGCGTATGCGCGCAATTGGGATTCAAACCGTAATTGCCCGTTACTAGGAAATGTCCTTCCCAAAACGTGAGAAGACACTAAAACAGTGAGCTTTGTATACAACATGACAAAACGCATTGCTGCTATATGGAATGAAAAGATCCGCAGAATAGATACATTGACAGCCATCTCTATCTCCAAAAATGTGTGGAAACCATTGTGGCATTGGTTTGGCGGTTGTGCTACCGACGGTGCTTGTTGTTCTTACTCTTCGAAGGTTGGCTGAACAGAAGACGACGTAGATCCATTACAACCAAGCTGTGCTCCAACCTTCAACAGGACGTGTCGACCATTCGCCTTCCGACGGATTGTGGAAGAGGGGAACGAAGAACAGTAGCTTATATTGACACTAAAGCTGGCTTAGACTCCGCGGACTATCGAGTTGTGTCTGTGGAGCAGGTTACCCCCATAAGTTCTTTATCCTCCTCAATGCGCTGTACGCTAACTGCCGTAAGTGCGTGGTCTACAGGCTCGGGCAAGGCTGCCTATTTTCACCCTTCCTCGTCAAATTTGTCATCAATGTGGACATGGGAGACTCATCACGGGCTTCTAATATCTGTGCGGTTGATATGCTCCCGGGACATATCCAGGACACAGACGACATAGCTCTGATTGGATCTTACGCCGTCGTAATGCAGATATTAAATAATCCAAATAATTTTGCCTCGAAGTGGCATACACTTCACACCTGCAAATTATAGAGTGCTGCTGCAAGACTGGGTGGGCTCAAAGCCGATCATGCCTGCAGATAAGCCGATCGATATTAGATAAATTAACTTCCTTGGTTAGCTGTCAGATTGGGGGGGGGGGCTCGCCAAAGACGATAGTTCCATCCAGAACGTGAAGGTCAGAGCAACTTTCATCAATGGCGCGGACGTAATACCTGCCAAAGGCCGAGTTTACATAGCTGCAATGAACTCCATTTTGTTATATTGGTCAGAGAGGTGGGCACTTAGTGCTGAGGTGGTCAAAAAATTTCCAGTGTCTGATGTCTACGGAGTATTGTTCGAGTTGGGTGGAAACACCGGATCCGTAATACCGAACTACGTCGAATGCAATTCGGACGAAATAAAAAATCGTTGCGCTGTAACACCCTTTCGGTGCCTACCTGCCGTGCCACACGAACAAGGCACGAGAGCTGTGATACTTCCAGGTCGCCCAAGCCTAGACAGGGGAAGTCGAGAGGCAGAGTTCGGGCTCGAACCACGGACCTTACGGTCAGTAGATTCGCGCTCTAACCACTTCAGTCATCTCGCCATCTTTCAGAAGAAATAACTTGCCCGCGATAGAAAAACTGATCACAATCTGTCGGCTGCTCTGTCTCAGTCACGTGTTCCGTATGATAGTCGACCGACTTCCTCGGAAAGCTATTCTCGCACAAACTCCCGAAGGGCTACACGAGCCAGAGGAGGTCAAACGATGACTTGGCAAAGAAGTATCAAAGCCATTACTAGTAAACTTAGTTATGCTGGTCATCACCGTATTCCACGACAGGGACTCTGACACGGAATACATCAATGGTTGGAGACAGTGGTAGACGTGGCCCAGTTGCATGCATGCATACAAGTTGTTGTATTTAATGTATGGCTTCCGCTCGCTATCTCCCCGATGAAAAGTCCACTGCCAGTACTGGATTCACGCGGTAAATGAATCATCTATTGCCTCCAGTGCGTAGCTATCTAGCTCTGTCTTCCCAGATCATCCAGGAATGAGACCGTGGCAAATATAACTTTGTGTTTTTACGGCTGATGATGACCATGATGTGTAGCCCATCAGTATATGCAATAAGAAATGCCTTGAAATGCACTGTGGCGGCTTTTCAACCAGTTAGTTCAAATGGTGTATTTTCTAGAGCCCTGAAAATCAGTGTTTTGTGTAGATGAGAAATTGAAAGATTATCATGTGCTCATTTTCCCAATAAATCTTCAGAGGCTTCCAAAAGATATTGTGGACGAGGGTGTATATAAAATACAGATGAGATCAAGTTACTCAGTCAGTTGAGGTTAAAAACGGATGATGCAAACTAAGCTGGTAGCATAAGATCAGTGACCAGTGAGTTCTATATACTTTGGGGCTATACGGCAAAATAAGATCCAGTTAGCCCAGCTGCTGTAACTTCGTTGTTTTACACTTGTGTGAACAGGATCCCCAGGCTACAACACAGAAACGGTGGTACGGGCAAGACGAGTGAAAAAAATAATTTCAAAAGAGGGGAATTTATAGCAAACAAAGACGAACATGTTTGCATGGATTCCTCAAAGGGAACCAACCAGATTCGTAAATTACAAGAGATTATACAAATCATTCCACGTCTGTCTGGCTGTACAGATTCAAAAAGAGACAACGCATTCCCTTAGAGACGTGCTGGAAATGTTGTCCAAGCTGAATATCACTGTCGACCACCGGAGGATTGAGCATCCTGAATGCTTGAAAAGATTATGAAGATTATCACTGCCGGTACGATGTACGTCCACTAAAAGAAAGGGAGGAAGATGGTGCTTGGATAGTTAAGGGTTTAACTATGAATATTAGGAGTAGAAGCCGTCGACAAAAGACAACGATCAGGAGCATCAACCTGATCTTAGGGTTGTACAAGGAAATATATGACATAGGCGGAATCCTCTCCTCCTCCTCGACGCAGTGTAAAATTAATTCCGAAAACAACGGTTGTGAGCATCGACTGTGTTTCACTGAATGTTATTTGAGGAGAAGCTGTTGGGCAATGCGTGTCACGAGTGAAGATCTTATGCGCTCTATTCGACAGAAATTCGGTAGAACTGGTACTTTGGGTTAACGAAACTAATGAGGCTCATGTATTGAACACACCAAGTTTGTTCACGGTATATCTCTCTGTAGCGTTTCGTCCGATTTTTTTTGTTGAAACAAGGTCAGGGAAATGGAAAACCCCACTAGGCTTGTCGTCTGCAATGAATCTGAGCGCACGGTGCACCGAGTTTAAGGCTATCATCGAGCGAGTTAGAACAGTCCCAGGTGACTAGAGCATCGTCAACATACGGATGGTGAAACGGTATCTGTTTAATCGCTTGTTCCACCGAAGTTTGAGCTTCAATCTGCCCACCAATCTGAGTGGAAACATATCAAACACCGTTGCCATCTGCAAAACCCACTCCTTCTGGATCACACTTTCGAATTATTTTTGGTTACCGCAACAATAGACTGTCTCTAAGAGGTATCTCTAGTGATCCGTAGCTTCTTCATAAGCGGATAGCCATGCTACTGGCCCTTATTATTGGATGATGTGTACTGTAAGATGCACTATACCTTGAAATCTCAACAAAACATGCACCACTATGAATCCATAACATTTAAACCGTAAAACGGACACTAAGGAAAGGTTATTAAGCCTGACACATCATAAAACCTTATCAGTAAAAGGGCAAACCCTAAAACTACCAGTGTACTCAAGAGAGAAGCTCACTTCCCACTGTATCATCGCAATCACTTCCAATATGCTCATTTCAACGAGGAGGTATGAGGACCTTACACCAAGCGATCTCTTTGGCATTCTCGATGCAGAAGTACGCAACGTGTTTAGACATGAAGACGTGGCACTTCCAAACTGGAGTCGTAAGATGAATTTGCTTCAAATTTCGGTAGATCCAACAACAATGCACCACATAAGGACATCAAAATGTATCAAACTGAAACATATCTCCATCGACTTCGCTTGAAAATATCAGGTGTGAAAAAACCACATGGGGTGCCACAAACGTGTTATGAACTGTATACACGTACTCTAATCACCGTAGCAGTCCGAAGTCTGGTTTACGTCCTAATAAAAAAGGCATCTGTCATCAACAATAATACACACGACATTTCTCACATATTTGGCAAAAAACGACCGGTTGTCTTCCTTCTGAGCCCGGGCCATCTCCTCCCGTTGTTTTTCTAACCGCTGCAGATACTTCAACGTTTCCGGCCTGAAAGAGGGAAAAGGGTAAGCAGATAGAGAAAAACCATTCTAAAATGATCACTTATCTAAAACAACCGCTCTTATTCGTCTCAACCAGTTTTCCACTGCATTTTGTATAGAATTAACAGTTATTCAACCAGTAGCAACAACGACCGCCAAGCGTATGTTGATTTGATTTTGAATCAGCAGTAGACTGGCCGCTCAAACTGGTACATCAAAAAAGAATCCAAGGGAGCCCATGACTAAGCCTGAACCACCTACTAGCTATTGCAGCGTAGTAAATTTATCAAACAGACCATTAAGTGAGGAAGAGCGCATTCTGCTAGAGAAAGGCTTGAATTTCACAGTGAGCAAAAGGGTGATAAGGGCGGAAGAAATAATCACTAGTGTTGAATCTGTGTTTCAAAAACTTCCATCAATGGAGGCAGAGAGGCTACGGGTACAGCTAGTTACAGTCCTTAAGTCCTAGCAGTCAGGAGCTCCAAATATTACACCAACAGAGCGAAGAGCTTTAAACACCCTAAAACGGATGGACAACATAGTGGGGCCATCGGGTGACCGTATCTGTTCGCCGAACTTGGCTATTAGCTTGAAAAGTTTTGTCATCAACTGAGGTGATATCACCAGCGTGCGCTTAGGTGGCTAATCCCTTCTCACCTCAACTGCACACTGATGTTGTCACCTTGATTGATGATGAAACGTCTGCAAGCTAATTCCAAGCTTGGTGAGAAAATCAACAGCCACGTGATCAACCGCCAATGAATGCACCCGAGCTACCAATATTCCCGTACATTTTCAACGTCAGATTAGAACTATAGAAGGTGATATACAGGCTTGATAGAATTTGCTATTGTCGATTGCAGCGTACCATGTCTGCTCATCATTGATGACTCTTCTTTGTCCCATTCTCTCCAGGCAATTAGTCCACTACATTTCCACTAAAATCTTTATCCCGCTGGTTATCCGTCCTTTCATAGTGCGACCATAATCCCCAGCTGTCTTATGTAAAGAAGCAGGGTGTCCCTTAAACCAATCATCGACATAACCGGCTGTCCTCACCAAGTTACAGCCAACTGGCTCGTGAAAACCTCTGACCTTGTTAGAATATTAGTATGCCAAAGCAGTGTACTCGGTGCCTTGAACTCGTGCGCCCGCCAATCCACAAGCGCTCAAGGAAAATTACTATGCTCGTAGTACATAAACTCTGTCCATGAACGTCCCATTGATGGGGTCATCTCCCAATTATGCGAGCTATTTGAAAAATCAGAGAAAGCAACCGGATTTTCATATGCAAATCCCAAAGCATTCCTTCTTAGATGTACACTGAATGTGGAATTTATTTCCAAAAATGTTTGAAACTCATGGACAAGATGTTGATCCATAACACATTTATAGTGATTCGCGTATGTGCGGGAAGCCATAAGACGTGGCACCTATTCACGAAGATCAAAAAACGTCTCTCGACAGCGAGAACTGTTAAAAACAACTGATATGTCACGATCAACCGCTTGCCCGAAACAGAGCATGCGGTGAACGGAGACGCTGTTTTCATAATCGTCCATCGTATTCTACCAAAATGAGAAAGCTGACGCCATCCATAGTTGAGAGGGTAGCTGTATCACTCCATGTTCACAAAAGTAGTCCAGACTAGTCTAAACGTCCAGACTACCCTAGCCAACTGCTAGAGCAGGACAAGCACACTGTGTTTCTTTCTCAAACAGTTGATATCCTATTATTGAAGTACTCCACCAATGTCCTACACGTGCTCTTTCCTAGTGGAAACATTCACCTTCGTCAGTGATTGCGAACATTACAAGTCGAAAAATCGGCCTATTATTTATCCTTCAACCCTTTCAGAAGAGCTTGGTAAAGTCTATTTAGAAAATGTTGAGGTTTTGAGGCGGGGACTACGGTCCATGTCACACAGACTGATCGCCGAGGCGGTAGAAATCACCAAGCATCCCAACGTTAACAGAATGCAAGGCGTGGAACTGGCTAGCGTGTGGAGAACGGTCTTGGATCGCTCGAGCTGACACGTATTGGTGTGCGGTCATCAGAAGGAAGAGTGGTCATCATCTGAAATCCACTTAATCTCAACCCCCCTCAAACTAAATTGTCGGAGCACTCACAACCCCACAAAGACCAGGGAAAATCTAACAGCGGCACCTGAGGTGATTAATCAAGTGAAGCACCCTGAATTGGAAGATTAAGGAGCGAAAAGCGATGGGAACTAATTTGGAACCCCTCCAACCCATCAATTCAGGATTTTGGCACCCACACTAGCCGACAAGAGCCGTCAGCACTGATCTAGTTTGAAGAGGACTTACTGATTGCTTCCCCGTCTGTCTTATAACCTGGCCAATTTGGTGACCTGTTCACTTGGCCTGATGAAGCTTTTGTGTCAAAAGCGAAACGTTGCCCAAATAAAAACTACCATCGTTTATCAAGCTCTTCTGAAACGAAAGAAAGCTATAACTTTTTACTCGTGATTGATACATGCGAGGCATGTTGACTCAAACTAAATAGAACACTGCGATTTTATCGCACGGTACTTCAGTTTATGCGCAAGTTGTACAAGAAAACTAACCAGAAAGAAAACCAAACACTGATAAACAAATTTGGAGGGGTAGGTAAGGTTTGCCGGCTTTCCTGGACTGATATGGATCACTTTTGATGCGCATCGAATGACAGTTGTGGACGCTACTTTTTGAACAGGCAGAGGAAATAAGGTCAAGAGAAGTGTCCACACACGAGCTACATTAGCTTCTTGATTTACAGTGCGACCACTTATTTTTCGGACGTGTAGACTACAGCCGAAATTAGTCTGGCACATTCAAATCTATCGTTATAAAAGACAAGAGGTAGTCGTTGATATAGAACAGAGCAAATACGAGAGACGGATGAGAAGCACATACAATAAAAGGCACAACACGAATGTGTCTACTAATCCGAGATTAACCACGGGTTGCCCTGTAACCATAAAGAGGGACTCGAAAGATGGGGAATGATAGCCAAGAGACGGTTCAAAAATGTAAACGCATTTATGTGCATAAAAAAATTTCAGGACGAAGTTCAACCTCGTTGATGATCGTCAGTCACTGGCTATTTGACAAGTGCTTTTCGGAGTTGGATTCCTAAAGTATTAAGTGGATGGTTTTCAGGACATCCTCAAGAATAAGTTCGATATCAGATAAATCGCAAAGAAAATAATGGAACCAGATACCTGTTGCTAAGCTCGAAAAGTACCATGTCTGGTTGAACCACAGTCAACAGACCCGGTTATACGTCACACATTCTCAGCCGACTCAGTAAATTATATTGAAGATGTCGAACTTAGCGTTGAGGAAGAACAGCTGAATGCACAACAACACACAGTAAAAGCTGTTGTCGCGTAGTTTCGCTTTGTGTGAACATTCAAAACTGGTCGATCACTAACGGCGGCAGAGAATGGACGTTAGCAGAACGTTATTCATGTTTATATCGCAGGCATTGTTGACGAATATTATGGAATGTCATACTATTCGTCAACAATGCCTACAGCATATAAATAACTGACGTTGTAATTACTTGCAGATTGTGCAACACAACACTATCTAGGCTGTCCAACTGTCTTCCGTGAGTGAGCATGGTAGGGGTGTTTTACGGTGTGTATGAAGATCGAAAAACATACTTAGATCCGTTGGTCGGTTTTTGCACATCCAAATTCACCGAAATCTCTGGGAGACCAGAGGCAAGAAGACTTGACAAGGCATCTTCTGAAAGACAATCATATCGCGGCGTGGATACATGCACAGCAACTGGGTTTCCTTGGTCATTTACACTCAAAACGAGATTGAGTTTCATTTGAGAGGCTAACAGCTGACACTGAAAAAAAGGTTTGTAAATTCACCACATTATCGGTTTGGACCCATACCATTAAGACAGACGACTCCAAACTGTCGATTTTGGTTATGTTGATACGAACAACGTATAGATCACCTGACTGTGGCAGCATCTATAGTAGTCACGGCTAAAACAAAGAGCGAATATTACCAGCAAAGAATCTCTGCCCAAGTTACGACTGGATTGTGGGCTCGTGCCGGAAATTGTGAGGACACCAGTTGTGGGACGTAGAGTGAACTGTTTGAATGGTTGGAAGGAGCGACCTGAAAGTGGATAGAACTAGCACTGGGAAAGAGCTCACCTGAATCGAACGAATGTTCCAATTCCAGGTCAACAGTACTGGCTAGATACAAGTTCTAAAAATCATGAGTATCTAGTGTGAACAAACAGGTACCTTTGAAAGCAGAAGGGACACGGCAAACAACGTAGGTACGAGCATGTTTCTCACTAAAATGCACAAAGGAAAATAAATGTGCTTTAAGGTGAGCAGAAAAACACTGTTCTTTGGTGGATACAACGGAAAATAGAGCAGTAGTGTTTACAGTGGGGATGACACTCACTACTCGACCCATCAAGTATGACGGTTTTGATTGTAATATGGAAGCAGTGAACGGAAAATGGCAAGGCTGGAGGGAATCTGTAAGCAAAAATGAGGTATCTACCTTCGCGCCATTGGTGCCAGTTTGCCATGGATTCTAAGATAGATAAAAGTGAAGCATCGGGTGTTCCGCATGGTGACTGGGCTAGGAAGAGTTATTCCCTTGTTCAGTTGACAGAAGGCTGAGACTTTGCTATCCCAGAACAACCACTCTAACTTCGAGACTCTCACTAAAACTTTCACGTGAGACCGAAACCAATTCACTGATCAGTATTGATTAGCTTACTCACTAGTGCCCGCAGCGGAATAAATTAATGTTTTTGTTACGGAAAAATCAACCAAAAAGCCGAAGAAACTAGTGGGGATAATATCTGCAAAAACCATACGGGACCACACGTATAACAGAGGGAGTAAGGATAGGACGGATAAGCGTTAATCCTGATCTTGGCTAATCTGGCAATGAAGTAAGTTTGAAAAGAGTGTATAAGTTTTCCAGAGTCGCCGGTTTCTGAGAACAAACAAGAAAGGTTCTGAGAGACAATGACGGACTTGCATTTGCTAGGCGTATCTAAAAGTAAAAGGGGGAGTTGCAGAAGTGTATGAATTGTGAAGTAGAAAAGAAAACGCGAGTTCAAAAGAACAATGCCCGTGGCAGTAGCCACAGGATAAAGAAAAACTGAGCTCTGATGGTAGAAATTTACAGAGGTTTCACGATCACTGTAAGGGGTGCAGTGGGACACAAAACGTTCCGCTGAACTTGGTACAAAGTGAAGGTGCGTGGATTATTCCCGTGATTATCCACGGGGGGAAGAAAATTTGAACTCTGTAACTTGAGAGCAATTGAGGATAAAAAAATCTGTGTACCATGAACAGGACACGGCAGAAACTGTCGTTTGGACCAGAGTCGACGGAAAGTGTATTTGAAGCGAAATGGTGAAGGGTAAGTCATGTGGGGGGGGATGAGAAGTTTAAAGTAATCGCAGTTGATAAACTCCGATTGGGGGTGGTAACAAGGTTATCGTTTAGTTGCTTGATAGGCCGCAGACAGTCACCACCTAAGTGAGGTGAGGCAGAGGCCGGGGACTGATATATGAGCAATTCAGCACGAAGAGCCTCACGTCCAACTCTATCGAAAACCTTCAATGCGTTCAGACAAACTAGTCTGTTTCATCAAGGATGTCTAGGGCAGACGATCAGAAGTAAATAAATAAATAAACCATTCAGCAGTAAAAACTTTCCGGTGCTTAGCTGCTATGCCAACCGAAAGAAGCATGAGGACTGGGATAGTGCCAGGTTACCCAAGCCTAGACAGAGGAAGTCGAGAAGCAGAAGTCGGGTTCGAACCGCGGGAAGGCTAGAAGTGGAAGATACACGTTAACATGTCACCAACATAGCGGTGAGAGTCCAAGAAGGTATTGCAATCGTAACCACGCAGAAGCTAGTTGGTCAGGTGTTCAACTTTCCAAGGGCAGGGAAACACTAGTGACAGGTGGAAGAGGCAAGCAACGCTAGGAACGACTTCTGGAGCTGTTGTAACTGTATTTTCCTCAGCTTAGTTCTCGGTCTGAGCCTCCCAAGCTAGCGTTCACGTCAAAACAAACACCAAAGGTGCACAAAGGTCTATTAACGCCCAAAACGAAATCAGGAACAGTTGTACAGCGCTTCGTATATATAGCGTAAGCGGCTATAACTTTCTGGAATTTCTGACGCGTTCTGGAGCTCCATTGGCAACCGGCATTTGGCCAATACTGGGTCATGATTGGCTGTTGGGTCCAGATTGTTGACCAATCAGATCTCGTCTTGATGCCGGACCGGCAAGCGTCCCGAATTTTGGGCCAACCTCGAGCGGGCCAGGCTTCTCGGCCGTAGCAGCGCCTAAAGACGTGCGGTATAGTGGGATCCGCTTTGATTCCTGCCTAACAGGATCCGAAACCCGAAGCACCGAGGGTGTGATGCGATCCGCAGGTTGGCTTCAATGAGTGAATGGAAGTACAAGGCTGGAAAACCTTCTATGTGGTAATGACAGCTAAGGACAAATGGGTGGTAACTGATGGGCAGAGTGGAACTATTGTTAGGGGTGATATAGTTGTTTCGGAGGTAGGAAGCTGAATAAAAATTTTAGCTATTCACCGGTGAGAGCTTTACTGTCTTTTTGGAAAAAGGAATGAGATGAACCATTAATAAATGGAAATTATGACCGACGGCTTCTGCAGGGGTTCAGGAGGATCGAGTCTTCGCGACTGCATCTCATAGTTGATCACCTCTGTGGCTGACAAATATATCCCTGACCATGCCGATAACAACAACGGAATATTTATGACCAGTCACGGACTGTTAGGGAGAATTCGGCAGTGATTCCGCTTGCAATTAGGCACTGCACGACCAAGAAGCCTAGCCCGCACGCGACAAGCTTAAATAGCAGCAGGCATACCGAACGCTCAGATATAACTGAAACAACTGAATGGCCCTCAAGCTTCTGAACCTTCTTTGGCACTGTCCTTGAAGACAAACCGATTTATTTCGGAATTCTAGAGTAACAGGACGCGTTCATCCCTCAAGTTTGAGAAACAGGGAAGCCTAAGTCAGTACATCATTCACTATCTACGTCAGTTTATACGTTCCCATTCAAACGATGTAGTCATCCTATATACTCGAACTGAATCTGTGTACGTATATTTCAGCTCATCTATGCTTGTTATTAGACACGCAAAACGTCGTCCATTCTCGATAACTCAGAGTGCCTTCTAATTCTCTCTCGGAGGCATTAAAAAAATCACATTGAGCCGCACGTACACTATACAAAAGAGCTCAGTTGGTTATGGAAGTTAACACCGCGATAAGGTCCATCTTCATCATTCAGTACAACACGACATCGAAGTTAGATACTGATGCTCCGCTGCCGTGCATAATTTATTTGAAAGACTTATTGTGAAAAGAATAAAAAATCGGTCAGCCGTAGCACCCTTTCGGTGCCTAACTGCCATGTCACCAGAAGGAAGCATGAGGACTGGGATACTGGCAAGATGCAGAAGCCTGGATAAAAGAAAACGAGATGCAGCCTCCCAATTCGTCTTATTGACATGTACACTGAAATTAACTGCGGTGGTACATGGTGACATGTCCTGGCCGCTGTCGTGGGATTGTTGGAACAGATCTGTATATACTAAGCGGCCCACTCCGAATGTAAGACAACTGTTACAATTACAGTCTTATAATCCTGGCTTCTCTGATCCAGTGAGGCGGAAGTGCATTGGATAGTCTCAGGTTAGTGGTAGTCTTAATTTCACGTCATAGAAGCACAGTGGTCTATCGGTGGTTGGCGGTACGCAGCCGAATCTCCTTTCTCGAGTCAAACATCGAGGATCGGGCTTTGATTGGTCAACAAGGTGAACTGAAGGCCGTAGAGTATTTCATGCGACTGCTTGGAGCCGGTGGTGGTGGGGATATGACTGCAAGTAGAGTGGGTTTCGGGTTTCTGACGGATTCACAGGGTCGAGGCTTTCACCCAAGTTGCCCGGGTCGGATTTGTTCATGTCCTTCAACGACTGCCGTTAACCTGAACAAGAAGCGAAAAAAGGATGTGGGGTTGTCGTTTAGGTTCTAAGCGCAGTGCAGTACACTTGCCAGGGCAAGGACTAGCACTCAAAGCGTCTAATGGTGGTTTGAACTGGGTACTATGTGGAGCTTGGACAACCGTCTGAGGAAGGTGATTTCGCGCAGCAACTGCCCGAAATGAGAATTTTGCCTAAGCCCGGGTCGGATATGTTCATGTCCTTCAACGACTGCCGTTAACCTGAACAAGAAGCGAAAAAAGGATGTGGGGTTGTCGTTTAGGTTCTAAGCGCAGTGCAGTACACTTGCCAGGGCAAGGACTAGCACTCAAAGCGTCTAATGGTGGTTTGAACTGGGTACTATGTGGAGCTTGGACAACCGTCTGAGGAAGGTGATTTCGCGCAGCAACTGCCCGAAATGAGAAAACGTTTTGCCTAATAAAAGTGCGCACTTCGAGCTTCAACATCTCCTTGCCATATTCCCGGCGTGTTAGCTGGGTCAGTGGTAGCCAAACCTTGTTCACACAGAAGACAATTAGGTATTAGGTCTCCTCGGAGGCGACGACACTCCAGGGTTAAGAGGTTAAGATCCGCCAGACGGGTTTCGTCGTCCACGGATTTAAGGCCGGCGGCCTTTTTCATAGCAACTCGTTGGACAAGTTCAATAAGGATTACGTCCTTATTGCGTCCTGAGTAGACATATCCAAGTCATACCCAAGGAGCGGTCTGACATAGTCCCCGTAGATGGAAGTCCATGCGAGTAATAAAAGAGAGGGTGCACCGAATCATCCGTAGAATGGCGAATGCCTTTTGAACCGATTACCCATGGTGCAGGCAGAGGACAAGTTTGATGAAAGCCTATACCCTAATCCTTCTTGACATCTATCCTTGTGATATCTTCTGGTCCGTTCTCACCATGCACAACAAAGATGTTCGCTTGCACCCCTCCGAAAGACCACTGACGCACTTTTCGTTGTTAAGAGGTGTCGGTCCAACAACCACTGCTTTGCAGCGTCTCCATCCATATCGATGGCGGTGGCATTTGAACTCCATGATTTCAGGTCGTCCGCTAAAAAAGAACGTCTGGAAGGTCGTTGACGTAGATAAAAAACAGAAGTGATCCCAAAACGGAACTCCAATGGTGTCCGGCGCCGGAGAAGAGCAGGTCGAGCCTACTTACAATCGAAATGGCCCTATGAAAACACCC